TTTTCGATTCATAAATTTTTTTTTATAAAATGATATCATATGGGTCGTATTATTTTTAATATATGAATATTAATTTATATAATCTGGAATTTTACTTTCATTTATTTTCAGCAATTTCTTAAATAGAAATTTTCGTCGCGAAAATATTTTATGATCTCTTATATAATTATTTCAGAATTCAATAATTTCAGAATATATCATAGAATTATATATCATAACTTCTAAATATTTCAAAATTAAAATTAAAAATAAATCCTTATTGAAATTTTAAGATATACTCGCGATAATATAACATATTATATTTTTCGAATTTTTCTTGAATTAATTCCAATCCTATATTTTTTCAATATCTTTGTATCTTTACATCTAGTCCTATATATTTTCTTTATAATTATATTTATATATAATTTTATTTATGTCTCATGGCGTAACTCTCTGTAATAGATAGTCAAGTGTCTAGTGTTCCCGCCCCTCCTCCAATAATATGATCTGGTAGGGATGGGGAGAGAAGTGGGGCTGGCGTGTGCGGATTCGGGCGGTTGTATGGCCAGGCGTCACAAAGAAGGCCCGATCGGCTCGGGATCTTATGTAAGGCCTATGCAAGACATATATAAATCCCATAAAGTAGACTATTTTATATTTTATACCCGACCTAACCCTAAACTTAAAACAGAACACAAACGATCCCCATAATCTACCTCCCGCACCCTCCCTAAATAAGCTCTTATCGATTCTCAACATTATACCTTCGAATTGCAGATTCCAAACCCTACATTCGAAAGATTTCATAACCATTCCACAGATAAAAAGAAAAGAAAAGCAACAAACCATACACCCCTCCCATACAAGAGAGAAAGAAAGAATAAAATCATTATCAAGAAATATTTTACCTTATCATATATATTTTTTATTACCAAATAATTATTTATCTAACTATTTATTTTATACGTTAAGGTATTTATTTGAAATTTCTTGATATTATAATATTATTCTAATTCAATTCCATAAGAATCATTTTCAAATTTTAATATTTTTTATTTATATATCAAGATAAATATCTATTACAGAAGATCCTAAAAAATTCCAGAATCCTAAATAAAAATATAGAATTTCCAGAATCCTAAATAAAAATATAGAAATTCTATAGAAATAGAATTCTATATAATATTATACAAAAAATCCATAAGATTATATTTATACCTATATAAATATACACAACGACTCAAAAAATTATAATATTAAAATTCTTTAAAATAATATATTCGCGAATAAATATAATACTACTATATTTCTTTCGAGAGATTTCACGGCACCAATTATTTCAGAAATTTTATTTTTTTAAGTAAAGCATGCCCGATACTACAATTCAGAAAACTTAATATTATGAAAATTACCTATATTAAAAAATTGCAAAGAAGAAATATTATATAAAAAATAATATAATTATGGCCGCGCAAAAAATGAAATAATTAAAACTATTTCACTAACGGGAAGAAATTATTTCATTTATATCTAATATTATCAATTTTCATAAAAATTATATCCAGAAGATATCAATACTATTAATAAATTTCAAATAACTCATCTATTCTACTAATTAAGAATAGAAATATTTAATTAATTTAATTCCCTTATAAATTAAAGAAAAATTGGATTTCATATATAAAAGACTCTACATTCTACACTAGATTTTAGAATGAATTAGAAAATTTATTAGGCAAATAGCCTATGTCTAATATGACTTCTAATTTAGAGTCCAGATATTACAGCTAATAATCAAGTCTATTCTATACCTAAATAAATTCTAGATCTTGAGGCTCAACGCGGGATGGGTTCCGATGTATTCCGGCGCCGGGGTATTTCAGGGCCTGTATGCATTCCGAGGAGATAGTACCTGGCTCTTTATTTTGTCCTGGGCTTGTGCTTCTCCGTCTGGCCGTTTGCTTTTTGTTTGTCGGAGACGTTTGAATTAGATTTCATTTTATGTTCTTCGCTGTTAAACACTCCAAAGCGAACTCGTCTGACTTTCTTCGTGTCTGTCGGAGAAGACGCCGATAAACTCTAGCAGCATCTATCAGAATCTATCATAATGAATTTCAAGTTCAAGTCTAGCCATCAACAGTTCATGTGTATACAACTGTTGAGAGAAGCCATGTACTTAATATTGCTAGACATGAGTTGGCCATTCATGTGCGGCTTGGCCATACGCGTCAGACAACAGTCTATTCGTGAGCCCAAAACAAGGTAACTGAAGAATTGTCATGTCATCATGTACTTCCGACGAAAAGAAGCTCGTGGGCGGCACATAATCTGTGATGAATGCCATCGAAGCGCATCTTTCGGAGTTGGAATCTATGTACATGATCGGACCTTTCGAAATACAGAATTCTCCCAAGCTTGGGAAGGACTTTTGGTCCTCACAGCTCCACACGGGCCCCGAACATCGCCGTCCTCCTCAACTGGTTGCATGGCTTGGTCCGAAAATTGGCTTTCAGTAGGAGCTCAGGCGAATGCATCTCCCAATTGACTGGGATTGCTCCGGCTGGATCTGGGTCGTTGCCTGATTCTCGCACCTTCGAAACAGTAGCTCTACAAACATCAGGACAAATTAGCATGCAGCCCGAGCCATCCTCTCGCAGGAGCTTGCCAATCGCCCGGCCAAGCTTTTTGGTCTGGAGCATTGCTTCGTGATGTGCACATCAACTCAAACAACACACACATTCTCACACACGCGCAAACACAGACGGACAGACAGACAGACACGGGTCTCGAGCAGCCTCCCGCCCACCGTGTTGTATGGCAACAGGTCTAATCTTTGCCAGCTTTCTTAGCAGGCTTCCAACCTGGAAGACCAAGGTGTTGAACGCTCTCGCAAGAGTTACAAGATCCGAATGTCTTCACGCCCCACCTCAGAGCCACCAATCGTAGTCTGCTGCTTGCCAGTAAATGGGCCTTGTGTGAACATCTTTGAAAGGTCTGTCAACGCAACAAAGCATAGGGCCGTTGCAGTAGCCAGAGTTCACTCGCCCAGCATTGACTAGCCGGTTCAGCTGACTCACGGCCGCGTTGAAGGCTGTCAGAGGAGCTCTGCAACTGCCTACTGCGATGTTAACAACGGAACTACCTCGCTGAAAGCCCCCTCTTCAAAGATGCCCCTCTCAACGCTAGCCTGCGCTAAACCCTTCGCAGCGCCTGTTCTGACAGAATCCTGCTGCCAGCAGGTGCTGTCCTGCGAGACCATGGATTCCAAGGACCTCCCACGTCAGAGCAGCCAAGGGACCCAGGCTCCTAAGACTAATTGCTAGGTACACGGTAGGACAGCCGAAAGACGCACTTACAGCCCTGGCTGATCTCAGCAGTGGGCTCGCCGAGGTGTTGCAGACCGGCGCCTTTTAGAAGCCAAAGGTCTAAGGAGTTCCCGCCGCAACACCGGAGCAGGGAGCCAGGCGCAGACTGAGCAGGTAATCTTGCTGCAGGCGGTTGCTCACCAGGTCCAGGCTCCTCCAGGCCAGGCTCGGCTTAAGAGAACGTGCAGCAGAGGCGCACGAACGAGGACATCTACCTCAACTCGCTGCGAATGCCTCGTCATGTTGGCAAAGAGCTTGTCCGAGGAACTCAGCCTGCACAAGCTGTTCCCCACGTTCAGACCTGTGATCGGCAGGCCGAGATCGCAGCCGGCAATTCAGAGTCTCGACGTCCTGCGATGTCAGTCCAGAATATTGTGAACACTCCAGGCAAGGACATCAGAGCTTCTGCAGGCCCTCTGCACATCGTCAGACCCACGAAGACGCCTTTGGCTAGATGGATTGAAGAAGCCCCAAACACATTCCTGGTACTGGTGGGGGCTCTCTTCGGCGCGTGCGAGCTTCGCATGGCTGTCTGCGGCTTTTGCAGAGCAGGACCACACTCACCACAAGCCGCTGCTACTCGTTGTGGCTTCGTGTCGAAAAGGTGCGACTGTTCGGTTGCGTGCAAGTCACAGCTGCGAGGCTCAAGCACAGTCCTTCGTGGCAACACCGAGCTCATTTGCGATCGTCGACCTCACCACGGTGCTGTTTACAGCAAAGAGGCCGTTCAGCTTATGTAGGTTCGAAAGATGACAGATTGCCAAAGCCAAATCAACGAGCAACTATTCGCCTCGGCACAGCTGGTGAGCTCCTGGATGTCACAGCCAGAGGGTCTCGGTCAGCGGCACAAGAAGCGTCGCTTGAAGCCAGGTCGATTCCTCCTGCAAAGAACCCGCGAAAATCGGTATCAATGGAGCTGACATGTGACGACAGCGACTTGGGATCCGCGCAATGTCGCCACTGGCACGGCCGCCTCGTTGAGCTCACGTCCGAGTCTCTCTTCAGCACATGCAAAGGCCGCAAAGGCACTGGTAATGGCCATAGCAACAAGGGCCCCAATCTTCTGCAGATGGCCTGCAGTCGCTGTGCATAGCTCTACACTCTGGAACCTTCCGGAGCACCTGGAGGCATCTTGAGGAGGTTCGTCAAAACTCCCCGGACACATTGTGCGAGTGTGCTGCGATCTTCTTGCCATGTACAAAAAATCTGCTCTCTGACTTTGCCAAGCTGTGGCCAATTCACGCCTGTGCCGTTTGCGTGGTTGGCTTCGTGGTTGCAAGCACTAGTCAGAATGCAGCTTGCTACCTTTAAAAGCCCACTGCAGCATGCATCGACATGCAAGTTTCATGGTGTCCGGAACGGGGCTTGTGGTGCGCGATGAGCGAAAGCATCTGCGGAGGCGAGCGTGTCTTTTAGACATCCTTTAGACGCAAGGTCAACTTTCCCTCCGGGCGTCTGACTGCTTCAAGGAGGCAGGGAAAATGCCCAGTCCCTACATGCACTTTTGCAACGATGACATTGACATCAAATCTTAGAGCCGCAGCGCGCCTGCGGGTCCTCGAGTGACCCTCACTGACGACAAAGTGGTTTACAAAAAGCTGTTCCGAGAGCTGCCGTCACAGCGGCCGGCTCCCCTCACTCTCCAAGCGAACACATCTGGAAGCGGAACCGGAGGCAACTTCTGCTTGAAAGTGTGCGTCATCGTTGTCCACAGCGCAAGGCGAGTTTGGAACTGAAGTCCAAGTCCAGCACATTGCAGTTGCCCTTCGTTCTGACTTGGTCTTTGCTGTAACCCAGCTTGTAGAGGGCGAGGATTCGCGTGCCAGGAGTCAGCCGAGTCACACAACTTCTCCGCAAACTCGGTCCCAAGCAGTCTGAAGTTCGTCTCTATCTACTTAGGGACATCGGTGAGCATGTGACGTGCTCCTGGTTGTGGCTAGCAGGGAGCTGGAGAGAATCACAAGGCGACACGCTGATGTCATTTCATCCGGCCCGTCCTGGCAGCAGCAGTGCCCGCTGCTTCCTGCCGGAAAGACTTTCAAAATCAGTGTTTAGAATACGCTCATGATGGCCATGCAGGTTGCGCGCTGATTTCGAACAAGCGGCGAGGTTTCGACCAGGAGTCGCTGGTTCAACCTGTTGAAATCATGACATCGGTCCGGAAGCTCAGCATTCCAGGGGAAGCTCCACTTCGTTTTGTGGTGTTCTGTCCAAAACTTTTCGCCGGTGCTGTTTACACCTTGCATGACCAGTGCAAACAGGCTGTGAATGACCACACCTGGATTGCTCCCGGCGCTCGCCACGCAACTCTTCGAGGGCAGCAGCCTCATCCACGGACTCGTTGCTCTCCATGTTTCTTGCTGTGTCATAAAGCTATGCGAGACTCGCAGATTCAATCTTTGGCGATACCATATCCTTGAAGCTGAGCAACGTGGGCGTCTTCGGCAGCTCGAACCTCTGACGCTCGGCTCACGGAAAAACCGACGGACATTGCATCGAGCGACTCTCAGGGCAATCTGTCGCCTGGTCATGAACGGTCGACAGTCGCTGCATCAAGGTCTTGTGCATCAGCTCAGACGACCTGCCCAAAGCTCTGTTAGAAGCGTCAGAACTGAAACTTCACCAGCCCGTCACGTCGCCTGGCAGACTGTTCAAGCTGCTTTTCTCGCTGCCGCAACTCCTGTAAAATAACTAGTTCTGGCGAAGATGCAAGTAGCAGAATCCTAGAAGAGCCTCTTCGGCTCCCTGGCTAGCCAGCAATGCGGCATCGCACTGATGCAAAGCCTGTGCAAGGGACGAGCGTTGTCTCGATGAGTTATCGAGAAATACAGAAGGCTGTTCACTGGCATACTCGAAACAAGAGTGCGTGTGGTGCAGTGCTTACTGTATCCCGTCGATAGCAGGATCTTGTAGTGTAAGCGAATGAGGCGCCCCCGAGTCTGCCATGAATCAAGTCTCCGGATCTCTGACAGTCTGACACGCCCTGAAGCCAGAAGAACTACATTGTCACTACATCCACGACAATGCATCCCATATCATCCCATGTTCCATGTTTGCGAGGTGCTCAGGATAGCACTCTTTGTTGCCCAAATGTACCGGGATCTGAAAGGCTTCCAGATTCGCGGGTTCTGTTTCTTATTGGCATGAAGATGAAGAAGATTGATTTCATGAAAAAAACCAGCACGCAGAAAGCTCCCCAGTCCCCGAGGTGAGGTGTGAGGACACCTCCTAGCTGGCTGCAGAACCGCAGACCATCAAGTGTGAGCGAGCTGTGTGGCCCCAGTCTGGGATTGGCCCATGTTGTTGAAGGCTCTTCATGGCTTGTTCCTTAACTTGGCTTGTTGAAAGCCTCACGTCATATGCATTGAGGACACCAGCGGACCCAGACACGACTCCAAACATGTTGAAATGGATGCGGAAAGAACATGCTCCCGGAGGCCTCCTCAGCCTCAAGTGCCTTGCGCTGCCGTTGCTCGAAGAGGGCCGCAACCTCACCGCTTGCCTCTGCAAGAATGGCAAGGCCCTTCTTTTCGCTGAGCGCACCCGAAACTAAAGTTGCTGCAAACCCCGAGTCGAGAAAACCCTCGCGCTGCTACTGGGCCTGATGCCGCTAACTGTCGCTAGTTGCAGCAACGCCAACAATCAAAACAACCTTGACCTTGGCTGACACTTGCCAAATTAAAGCGGTGGCCTCATTTGCTAAAATTCGCTCACGGGCCAACTCCGCTTGCAGTGCCTGCGCCAGTGATGCGAAGGAGGCAAAGCCCTGCATGCATGCCTTCTGTTCCGCAAGTGCAACAGCACATACAGCTGCCGCGGATGGACTCAAGCGTCTCCAGCAGGCTCACCAGAACATGAGTTTGCGAACGCATGTTGTGGCCGAGCGGTCTAGTCGTACTAACACTAGCTGCCAAACTCCGGCACGCGGGACTTCCAGCTTCGCCGGCACATAATCAAGGCAAGCTCCAGGAGCGTTGAGTCTGTCCATGCAGAAGGGCATTATGATGAAACTGTCCTGCTCCATGCGTCGTCCCTCGGCCACTTCTGCGGCCAAATTCTGACCCAGCAGCTCCTCGAAGAAGTGTCCCCTCATGACTCTGACTTTTGGCCAAGACAGAGCTTCAGCGTCCTGCGCCTGCAGCTCATACTGCTGGCGCTCGGCAAGCTGCATGCTGGACAGCAGCTTGGCCTCAGAAACTCGCCACTCTCCCGCTGCACGGCTCGAGATCGCGGCCAATTTAAAACTCCGAACCTGGACATTCACATGTGCGTCGGGGCTCTGGCTTCCATCTGTGCCCTTGCTTCCTCATCAGCTTGAAGCTGCAGTGCAAAACGTGCAGCGCTGGCCTCGAAAAGTTCAATGGCACAAAGAGTTTTCTGGAAAAATCGTTGGTCCTGCAGTGCCTCCAGCTGGGCATTCTCAGCCTCCTGGACGGCACGCTCGGCCGTTGCCTGTACCAACAATACTGCATCTGTGGGTTGCTTGAAACGCACACGCATTGTCCATGGCGCACTTCGAAGCGAAGCGCTGCGTGTTCCTCCAGTTCTCGTTCAAGATAGGAGGCTCGAAAGCATCCAGCATCCAGCAGAGAGTGGAGAGATGTAGAGAGCATCCAAGCGCTCAGTCCTCCAACTCGGCGCGCAAACGTCCACATCGGACCTCGCAGCAGCGAACAGCGCTGCATCTTACCCTACTAGTGCTCGCAAGAACTCAGACCATGGCTTCAAGATCTGCACTCAACGCCTTGCGAGCAGCCTTGTCACAAGAATGTAGCACCGTGTTGACCGCTTACTCATCCTGGCCTTCTCCACCGACAGATCCCCTCGGGATCGAACCACGGCAGCCTGCGGTGGAGTTTGGCTGTCGTCTCTGCAAGCGCAACCAACAGGCACCTCGAGCTCCCGAAGTTGGCGAAGCTGCTCGGCCTTTGCAACCTGGCAGGCAGCAGGCAGGATCCAGATTTTCGACGCAAGAGTAGCCAATACCACCACCAAGTCCCGGCGCTTTGAACGAAAGGATTTTTCGGATCGAAGACAATGTTTGTTACAAGCTTCTGCTCAGAGCCTGCTGCATCGGGGATGGACCCACTCTGTTGCCAAGACAGTGGTCTTCCCGAAACCCGCATACGCGCAGCACGCCGTCACTCCCAAACGGCCGAGGTCGCCAGATAAGCTCCACGCTCAGGCTTCATTTCTTGTAGTACGGGGAGGGGAAAAACTGCTTGTTGGCATCCACCTTCTTCTCAACGTACCCCCAGAACCACATCCAGGCTTGAGGGGCTTCCTGCGGAGCCCTTGCTTGCCAGGTGCCGCCGGGCAAGTCTGGGACCATCATCCTAAGCCTAGTGCTGCAACACTTGAAGTGTTGCAGCACTAGGCTTAGGATGATGGTCCCATTCACTGGGTGCTGGTCACCGTGCAAGCGGATCAGGTTGACGACGTTCGGGTGCTCACCCAGTTTCTTTAAAATCCGTTCCTCAACTAGAACTTCATTTCTGTCCCCAAATTTGCTCGTCTTGTGAGCATTGCCATCCAGAAGCCACACTTCACAAAAACTGCCGGTGCCGAGCAGCTTGGGCGCTTGCCTTGCATGGCTGGTCAGCAAGGTTGGGTTGAGACCATTTGCCTGCAGCTTTGTCGGCACCGGCTTCTTGCGCAGCCGGCTTTCCTTGGGCCGCCCAATAAGCCACTCGGGGCTTCGGCGCCCACCTCAGCGGCTGGGACTCGAGTTCGTAAGAACACGGCCCTGGACCGCCATGCCGCGGAGGCGGCGGGAAACTCCTCGCCCGAGAAAAAGCCATGCCACAAAAAACACACACAGACAGTGTCAAGTGGTGACAGCTAAACTGATCACGAAGCTCTACCCACCTTCTTGAGCCCTTAAGCATGCCATCAATACTTCATGTCACCCTCAGGCACTCTTCAGACACAAAGATATTTGAATAACTTTGCAAGTAGGAACGGTCAAATTCCTCCGTACATATACGTAGACATGTGTATATGTATTGTCAGACACGGGCATGTATGTGTATATACAATGTGTATACACAGGGACTACAAAGCGAGAGGGAGAGAGAGACAGAGATAGAAATAGAGAGATAGACAGACAGAAAGACAGACAGACAGACAGACAGACAGACAGATAGATAGACAGATAGATAGACAAATAGATGGAGTTATGAATGAACCCTGAGATCTTACAGATCTGCATCAGATCCTGCCCCTCGTAAGCAAGGTCTCGGACGCCACTCAGCTAGAGCAGCGGGAATGGTTGGAAGCAGGCAGAGCTGGGAGCCTGCCTGCAGCTTGCGCAGCGCCGCAGAACCTTTCCCGGCATTCTTCAGAAGTACTTGCGCTCAGCCAACTGTGAGGAGTCGTCCATTTCAGCGTGCGGCGCTCTGCGTGCAATTGCTTCTGTGCCGCTGCCTGGTTGGCTGTTGCTTGACTGGCAATTCCACAGCAAAAAGATGCTCTTCACCACGCCAGTTGGCCTCCTCCCTGGCAGCTGCCTCCTCGCGTTTTGCAACTGCTGCCTGAGTCGATTGGGATTCCCACGAGTGACAACAAGTCATTGCTCGCCTGCCTCTTCTGCGAGTTCTCGAGTTGCGTCGCGAAATTTCAGTTCCTGCATGGCACACACGGAGGTCTGGCAAAGCCTTGCCTTGACAGCTACGCAGCGAAACCGATGGCCTGCTTGCTGCACAGCTCCTGTTGCTCAGCGGTGCTGGACAGAAGCCGCCGGCACTGCTCCAACTCCAGCGTGGCTGCCTGACAGGCGCCGGAGAGCAATAGAGTTATGCATAGAGAGTACAGTAGCGGTAGACTGCTCCTTCTGCTCTCTCTGAGCATCAAGAAGGCCCATGCCTCAGAGCAGAAAGCTTGGCGGCCCTTCCACAAGTGGACTCCGAGGCAAACACCAACTGTATCTTGCTGGTGCTGGTAGGCCTGACGAGCGAGCCAGAACGAAGTGGGCTACAATGGGTTTACGGTGAGCTTTGCAAACCACGGGTGCCTGCCTGCACCTCCTGCTCAGCCACTGAGAGCTCCTGAAAACACGAATACAAAAGCCCTGCATTTCAGCTTGAGGGCCGTTGTGCCTGCTTCAGCAGCCAATCTGGAGGTGCCTTCCGACTAAGCGATCCACAGCTGAGTCTCTGGAGCAGTGTGGAGCAGTGCAGACCGGGTGTACCTTCGCGTTCTGAATGGCCGGAAGGAACTTCTTCAGGGCGAGGCTAAGCGCTTGGACCTCGCTTTCTGTTGAACATGGCTACACCTTATGTTGGTTCAGACGGCTTCACTTGGACACGGCTTGCTTTCGACCGCTCTACGTCTACATAAGCCTATGCCCTATGCAGAATCAAGAAACCGGTCCCAGCCTCACGCCTATGCTCTTCCGCTTGTTGCTCAAGCGCCTTGGCAGGAAACAAAAGAAATACACTGATCCATCCGACTCAAAAGCCTTAGTCCCAAGCAGTCCTCTCCTGTAGTAGCCTCTCTCTCTGCCGCATCAGCTCTTCCGTTTGGGAATGAAGCCGTCGGTCTGCCTGGCAAGGGGACAAGGACATCAAGATTTGGACTGGGACGTGCTGCATGTGTCGTCACGAGCTGCACAGTAGAACTCAACACAAGCTGGTTTTCTCAACATGTCTCCGGCGTATCGCGCAGTTTCTGATGAAGGTGTGACTCAGTTTCAAGGGCCACCCTGCTAGTGGTGACATTGTGCAGCCACGCAAGGTTGTCCGTCTCGGTTGCTGGGCAAACGGGTGCCTTGGCGATGCCAAACTCAGCACCGACAAAGTGCACCAAGCTCGAAAAGCAGATGCTCACACCCACCAGCCATCAGCGTTGCCAGTCATCCAATTGAAGGAGGCTGTGTAACCATGAATTCTGCGGCACTCTACCTGTCAGCGCGCTTGCTGGCGAGGACATGGCAAACCGACGCATTCACGCTGTGGATGCCAAGACTCGAGCCCACACCACGCCCAACCGGATGCCAAAGCCGGAGCTCAGGACTTTTGGCCAGGGCCTAGCCGGCCTAGCCGCGATGGCGCACCGACTCAACCAAACCCTTCACCTTGCCTTGCATCATGCTCAGCAAGCTGTTTGTTGACTGCGTGCCATCATCTTCCATGGACTTGTTGGACATCAGCATTGCCGTCCTAGAGTGGTCGAGGTTGGAGTTGGCACCCTCTTTGGCCTTGGGAGTGCGGTCGGAAATGAGCATCGCTGTGCGTTGACGTCGAGCTTGCTTGGCACCTGCTTTGCGTGCCTCTGGGCTGTTTCTGCCAGATGCACTGCTCCGTGGAGAACAATCCAACATCGCCGAGCGATAGCGAGGAACTGTTGCCTTTTTCTCCGGACTCTGCTCCTTGCCCGCGCGTGGGCTCCTTCCGTAGCCAGCGCTGCTTCCGTTGTTGCGGAGAGCAGCACTTGGAAGAACAGGACCTTGGGCAATCATGGCACTTGGGACCTAAGATCTGGCTTGGTTGCAGTTCGCTGCTTTGCAGCCACTTCGAACCAGTACGCCTGGTGAAAAGCTGGGCTGGGCATGTCTGAACTCACTGTTGCGCAGATGGTGGCAAGTCTTGCAGGATTGCTCTTCGTCACACGGCCTCCTGTGTTTGCAGCTTTCCTTCTGATTTCACTCGTCGAAACTGCAGAAGCTGCGTCTCCAGTTTCCTGTCTGCTGCAGTGAACTTGCTTCAAAAGGCTCGTCAAAGCTGCTGCCGAGGAACTTTATGCAGTTTCGCGACACCTGGTGCCGCATGCACGGAAAGTGCGAGAAAGCAGCACGGTTTGATTGACAGTTCAAGCGGATAAAGCAGAGTCCTGTGCAGGCCTTCCTTAAAGCACAACAAACAACAGCAAGCAATCATTGCCTCCAGCTGCTGCTCCCAGCGCTGCTTCTCCTTCAACGCCAAATCCGCCTGCGGATACACAATCAACATTTTGCAACCGAAAACCTGTGATCACCGAAAATTCGCAGCACACTGCACCACAGCATTGTCGCGCTCCTCAATGCGGAGCTGAGCAAGGTCGGCTCCTTCCATTTGCAGCTCCTGCACGAGCCAGTACGACGCAACATCATATCCGGTCGATGTTTGCCTGTGCTTGGATGCTCTGGTTGGGATCGCGAAACTAGCTTGTTCTCCCGAAGCGGCCTTGTATTCAAGGCCTCCGCAGTTTCCCTTGTCGTCGCATGTTGATGTTGTCCCTCTGCCACGCAAGAACCACTCACGTGTCATGCACCGTTAACCGGCACCGGCGAACATTGGGTTTCTGTCCAATATCACAAATCAAACGCTGGGGGCTCTGCAGCCTTCAGTGAGCACAAGAGGAGGAGATGAAGTGCGTAGGATAGTCACATAGAACTAGGACCACCCAACCGCGAAGCAAGGAAAATATTTGAGCACCGATAGACTCACATGCCTCTGTCTATGACAACACTTTCGCTGGCCTCCTGCAGCTCCCTGGCCTCGCGGAGCGCCTCCACGCACGAATGGAAAAGTGCCGTCACGCCGTGCTGTGCTCGCATGTGCTCGCTTGCCGCCCATCCTCGGCCAAGCGAGCATCTTTCCGAGCCTGAGAAAAGGAACTCAGCAAGGGCCGTCGGCCACGCCAAAAGGAAGTTAGGTAGGAAAGCTGGCGCTGGCGCCTCAACGGGGGCCTTCACCCTCGACATCTGCCACCCAACCAGAGTCAAAGCATCTTCTGCAGCGCAAGCTCGGCAGTTCTGTCAACTCTGAGAAGCTTCTCGACTCATGTGGAGCTGGATCCCTTTCAAAACTGAACCTTCTCGAAGCACGGTTTTTGCTCCAAGAGCTTGAGCCCACGTGTCCAAGTTTACAGCTGATTTCATAGATTTTCAACAATCACATGGACACTCCAGTCTTTTCCAACCGGCGTTTTGTTCCGAGCCGCCCGAAATTTAAGCGGCCTGGGGCTTGATGCGCGAAATCGCCAGCCTGATGCATTAACTCCTCTTTGGATCCCCTGTGGTCTCTGCCCAGGAGGATGTCAGAGGATGATTGGAAGCTATGGACATGTGCGGCGGCATGCCTACTTCAGCAAGGGCCGCAAGTCTCTGCGACATGTGGGGCACAGCGAGGCCTGCCCAAGTTGTCCAATGACCGACCGAAATTTGAATGACCAGTGCTGAGGCCGTGCCTTCTTCAGCCACGGGAGGACGCAGCTGAGGTGAAACACGTGCTGGGGAGCACAGGGCAGCCTGCAGCAGGACGTAGCAAGCTACCCGCATCCACACCGAGGCAAGTTAGGCCAAAATTGCTGACACAGCCCAGGACGTGTACCGAACCCCCCTCAAGCATTCTCATTCGTTCTCAAGTTTGTATGCGAAGGGCTGCACACGGAGAACCACAGCCTTGTTGAGATGGCGGGGTAGAAACAATATGCATGTTCTACATTCGTGCAGCTTGGGAAATCAAGCAGCCAACCGCCCCAAAAAAAGTAACGAAACGACATTACGCCTTACGGAAAGATTCCCCGGAAGTGTTTTTTTCGTCACTGTCCATGCTCCGTTTGGGGGAGTCCAGGCATTTCCAGACGGGTTCCGGCAGTCTTGCTCGGGCACCGCTTGTAAAGTAGGCAAAGGCCTGGATTCGGACATGTATGGATGATCTCCAACACCAGGTCGATCTTGGGGGCAAGAAACCACGCACAGACGCGAACGTGTCATGAAGAGTTCCCTATGAAAGACATGGTCAACGAAGAGGGTGGTCAGCCCGAGCTGCAACCAATCGATGAGAGTCTTATACAACGTGGTAAGAAACTGCTTTGGAGGCCGACAATTTAAAAAGCTCACGGAGCGGTTTATAGTGTTTTACAAACCTGACCTCTTCGCTTTCGTGGTGTGGGGCCTCGGCTGGCAATCCTAAAACTGGATCTCTGCACTGGGACTCGGCCTGGGTGGGGCAAGCGCATACAGCGCATGGCCTGCTGATTCCTAAGGCTGTATTCCACCAATTGCTGACAAGAACGGTGACATCGCGGTACATTGATTCTACAATGCTGGTGAAGACCGGTGCCGCTAGGAATGGCCGATGCTGCGCACAGCAATGACAGGATCTACAAAGAGATTCTTTCTGGATCCTGCCTGATGCAGCAGCTCGAGGCATCTGGGGCCTTGACCGATATGCATGGAGACCTTCTCTCGACTTCTGGCTGCATCAGATCTGTGCTTCGGGCACCGAAGCAGACTGCGCACTCGAGGTGCTCTGGCTCCTGGCCTGTCGGAGCAGGGGCGAACCACCACGAGCCTTCAGCACCCTGTACTTGAAGGTGCGCCTTCGCGGAAGTCAGGGGCATCTGGCTGCCACCTGCTGGAACTGCGATCACCCTTAAGACTGCACGAAAGGGGCTGCTCCGTGCCTGTGTTTAGTCTGCAGAATGCGCAGCTGTTCATGAGAGAGCCCCGGAACTGCCTCGCGAGTACGTCACAGTCCCCGTCGGCATCGATTGCATCGGCATCGCATGGGCATCGTGCCTTCTTCTTGCCATTCTCGTTGACCTGGAGAAGCAGATGCATCGGACCAACGGTCTGATGAGAAGTTAAGAGCTTCGGACCGTCACTGTCGTGAAGAGGTCTCCACGAAGTGAGCCCCAGGCACGCTGATCCTGAGACTTGCTCGGTTCATGCGTCAGTGCAACCAGCATCATATCCTTCTGTGGCCAAGAAGTGCTTGTCTGCTTTAGGAGTCTGTGACTCGACCGTCCTGCTGGTTGAGTGTCGAACCTTTACATTACCACGACACATTTAGTCTGAACTGGACATGAAGACGAAATCGTCTGACAGAGTGCTCCGTGTTTACTGTGACGATCAAGATTGTTCATGCGTTTGGGTTCTGCAGTCTGTGGTCGCTCCGCAATGGCCCGGCCTCTGAGAGAAGCCATTGCCTGGCAGCCTCTACTGGCCGAACCGGCCTCAAAGAACCGAAAGGCGCACCAGTCTGCTCTCTCCACCACACTGAACAACTTCAGCACCCTGCCGTGGTGCCCGCCAAGCATCTGCGTAGCCCTCCACGACATCATCTCGCAAACGGTCTCGACTCCTGCAAGCACGACACGCTGCCGGCGACATGCATGAAGTCCTTTCGGCGGTGATCCTGTCAACAGCCGACTGCCCATCAGCGCCTGCAGAAAGCTTGCCAAGAGCACCGGCTCGTTTGCTCTGACATACTCGAGTCGACGCACTCGGTTGTGCTGATCTGAGCGCTGCACGAAGGACATACGAAGCTGCACAAGCCTCGACAAAGCTACAGCCGCTGCATTCGTGGAAGCTTGAACAGAAGCAACACACTCACGCGCCCAACTTTCCGTGGCTGCTCCTACCGACTCGAGGCCCCGACAGGATGGAAGCGACGGTAAATCGCTGCGCCTGCACACAGTCTTTGTCCAGTTCTTGTGAAGCAACATGCAGAACAACCATGAATCTTTTTGCACATGCTTCACGCAACTTTAGTGTTATTGAAAGTCTTGGATGCTCTCGAACGCACTTCAACTTCTGCTTCACCCTTACTTCCACGCCTGTCCAGACCGTAACCTCCTCGTTCAGATCTCTTAGAGGCTGCCTGTACTACCGCAAATCTTGGTGACACGGCCGGCATGGAGTCCCGGGTTCCGAGGCAGCAGCCCACAACCGTAGCAGAAGTGGCCCAGGTCGTTGCGCTGTGCTTGCCTACGGCCACTTCTGGCGGGAACCCTGAAGGCAGGCTTTCGAGCTGCCTCTGCCGGACAGCCCAGCCCGAGGACCGTTTGTTGGCCACGACCTGTCGACTGTGGAGGAGGCAGCTGGAAGAGATGCAATGCGAAAGAGCCGCTCGGTGCCTCATCCAGAGCAATGCCCTCTCCGATGAGCTCTCTCTGGATGGCCTACGAGACAGCGGGGCAGTCTCGTAAACTCGTCCCTTCTGCCACAATGAGCCTGGTCAATGGGTGACAGTGGCGGCGGGGCCGATCTGCTTTTCTGGGCGCTGCGCGAACTCCTCGTAGAGCAGGATGCCTCGAGCGCAATCCGGTTGAAAAAGAGCTTCCTGCCGACTTCTTCCGGGCCGAGATACTCTTGACTCGGACTCTCGGAGTGCAGCTGCATAGGCCTGGCACTCATGGCATGGCCATGGCCGATGTTGATGCTTTGGAGCCATTCCTGGTCATCCTGGCATATCCTGGCTGAAGCTGCACTTTTGCACTTTTGCACGTGCGCCAAGTCTCGCGTTGGGCAGCTGCTGAAGACTTGCCTGAGATGTAGCAGTCGCGATTTTAAATTCTGAAAATCACTGGCTGCTGAGGTCCCCGCTTTGCATCTGTACCGTCAGCACTGGCCACCCACCAGTGCTTTCACACTGGGTAGCAGTTGCTGGCGAGAGCTGCTGCTTCACCACTACCGCGGCATCTAGAGCCACAGCATGTCAGAGCCTTTGCTTGCATCGCTTCGGCAAAAAATGTGAAATTGCTGGGTGTGCTATGGCGTACTGTCGAACATCTAGGCTTATGAATAGTTCCGACTGTCTACATGGTGCGTGAGACAAACTGCAAGCTCACTTCTTGTTGACGGGAGCCTGCACACCAATACTGCAGAGGATTTCCTTCAGAAGGCAGGCACGCAAGAGGCAGGAGCAGTCCTTGCCATCACTGTCATCACTGAGGCTCATGAGAAGCGACTCCGTCGAGAGCACCATTCGATTAGCGGACCTGCTCTTCCGGGCTTCCGAAAGTCCCCTCCAGAACTGAACTGCTTATTCGGTGTTCTGGTGTTCTGAGATTAGCACTTGGAAAGCAAGCTAGAGATCTCCTTCGCGACCGAAATCTTTCGCAGTTCGACGAAACCTGGATTGGCCTCTCGAGTTTCACTACGGATCAACGACAAGAAAGGGGAATCTGGGCAACTGTGCCTTGATCGCATCACCAATCATCCTCGCCGACCTCAGCAACCCGAAAACCAAACAGCTCTCCCGACGGCAGATGAACTCAGATGGCTGTTCTTAGTGAGTGGCTCTTTCTCGCCTTCGGCGTGGATGATCGTTCGCTTCTTCTCCTCCTGAGCCTGGCAGGAGCATTCGGTTGGCATTGCCAGCCTGGCTGCCTGCAACACGGAGGCCTTCAACACCATGTACCGGGCACGTTCTGCCTGCTGTTGTGCCACCTGCTTCTGCTCAACAGCCTGCAGAGCAACATCTCTTTTTGCTTCGAAGCTCCAGATGCCAGTACGTAAACAGCATGTCTTTTCTTTAGCATGCCGATAGGAGGAGGTCCAGCACGCTTTTTTCCGATAAAAGATACATGTCCACGCAGCCCTGGCGCGCGCAAGGTGCTGCTGCGAATCCTTTACAGTGCAAAGCTGTCAGATTGGGCCGACACGGAGATCAGCACAGTTCAAACGGTGCTCATCACTTGCGGCCATCATCGACATAGTTGTCCGGGAGCTCAGCCTTTGTTGTCAGAAGCTCCTGGCAACGTCGCTGCAATCTTCAAAGTTATGAAGCTGCTGTGGGGGACGGAACACTGGGATGTACAGTCTGCGGCCTCCGAGATATAGCCCCACCTCGGAAACGACAACACCGCAGGCTGCATGTCAGGAGTTGTCACGGCACACGCTCACAACACTGAATCACAAATCCGACATGCGCTGGTTCTGGCTGAGGTCCAATCACAGACTTTGCTCCAGCGGCGAGGCACTTCTCTCTGCCATTCAACGCCTCAGAAGTGAGAAGTTTCACTGTGCAACCCCTCGAAACCAAGCTGACGGCCTTGAGCTCGACCATGCAACTGCATTCCACGACTTCCGCCTGGCACACTGCACAGAAGCTGAAGCTGCACGGTTTCGCGATGTTTCACGTCACACTTCACCTCACAGGCTTCCATGAGCTTGATACCGGCGCAGAGTGTCCCTCCTGAGGTGAGCTTGAGAAGCTGCGCCGACGGCTACTGCATCCAGCTCCCGCAGCTTCAGCAAACTCGGCTCCAAAGTTCCTATTCGGCCCTCTGGGGCAAGCTTGATCGGACGTTGCCTGCCTGCTTAAGACCATGCAAAAGGTTGAAGTACACAGGTGCACCCGCCATCATCGTAAAGCTACTGCTAGGCTTACACGGCAACAGCTTCGCAGGCCCTCAAAAACGTTCCAAGAGATCGAGCATCAATACCAAGTAGACTGCATGCTTCAAACAATGGACACAGCCGAACCTTGCTCCACGCAACCGACTAAAGAGCCAGCTTAACCTCGGTGAATCGTGGCCGAGACGTGGGCAGTGTCCTGTGGCAATCAGGTCGTCAATGAGGACCACTTTGTCGCCCTTGACAACCGCTCCCTGTACAGGAATCATTCTGAATGACAAACAGGGCATAACATGTCAGCGAGCCGTTGCCTTCTGCACGCACATCTCGTCCAAGCCGTCGTACTCCTTGATGTACGTACGCTGAAAGGTGCCCATCGCGTTTTCATTCAGCGCTATCACTGCTTTGCTCTCTCCTTTGTGTACGGGCCGCTGGAGATTGTGTTTGGCAGCTTTCCAGCCTCCCAACGTTATGCAAGGCAAGAATATCTGAGGAAGAATCCGGATGACGATAAGGGCACCGTTGGGCCTTGCGGAGCATCACAAAAGGCACGCCAAGCTTGATGGAAACGGGCGTGAAAAGGAAACCGCGAGCCTCTCAGGGACCAGCTGCACACAGCTTCCTCCAGCCGGCCCTCTTCCCAAAGGGATCTACTTCAGCGCCTCAAAGCCGCAGATCTTTGTCACACCCAGTTTTCGGAATCGCTTTGCCCAGACCGCACACATCGCGTTGAGAAGCTTCGGGTGCTGCAGCAGGCCCTGAATGTCATAGAACCTGGAAAAACGAAGGCGATCGAAGGGATACGAAAGTCAGCTGCTGGCCAGTCCTCTCGATCTTCTTGAAGGGGAAATAGGGTATATGCAAAGCAATCTCCTGACTGTCTCACACTGGAATGGGCCGCACGCAGCAAAAAACGAAGACCGCTTCCCAGACTTGCAAGCAAGCTGCCTTGGCCAGGGGTCCATCAGATTCCATGTCTCCCTGCTGCAAGCGCTTCGCTTCGGCCTTGGGCTTCGCCTTCGTCTTGGCTTTCGGCTTCGCTGCCGCCGCTGCCGCCTTCTTGCCCTTTCCGAAGACCCCCGACGGAGCAACGTACGATGTGTTGGACCCCGAGCCACTGCAACACAAAGACGAGACTCACAGACCGCTGCAAGGACCGAAAGGATTTCGCAAGTCTGTTGGCAACCCGGTAAGGGCAATCAGAGCACCTGCTTCGCAGACTCTGCTGGAGTAGGATCCTTTCCGGCCTGGGCAGATTTGCACGGCGGCACATATGACTTCCTCATGTGCTTCAACCAAGATGGCGCCTGCGCAGATTCCACCTTACGCTGCTTGCTTCTCGTCTTTGCCGGCTTGCACTCATAATCCCAGTATTCCTGTGGCATTCAGCTCTTCGTTTGTGTTGGTGGCTTCGACACTGCGAATGCGGCCATGCATGTCCTCCAGCTGCTTCATCTTGTACTTGCCACGGTAGAACTCCTTCGCTTCGATTTGTCTCATCCATCTTCTACAAGGGCCGTGACGAGAGTCACTTCAGGAACACTCCGCTTGCAACTATGTGAGTCTCATGCAAATCAAACGCAAGCTGTCTTCTTCTGAAGCCAGGTTTCAGCCAGCTGATCCCAGGTGTATGCACATCCATCTTCGGGATCAACACGCTTCTCCTCGGGTATACGAACGTAGTGTATTGCATTCCTGGACGGCTACCTGCACTAACAACAACCCAATTCAGGCCAAGCAGCCTCAGGGTCGTAGTTGGGATCTTCCCTCCTTCACGAAATTTTGCGTTACCCCATCTTCTGCAGAGCTTAAGTTTATATCTGACCCATGTCTCCTTTCCGTTCAAACGACGGGTGCTTGTGCGGACCATGCAGAGATCATTTTTTCAGTCGAGTGTCTTCAGGACTGCACCCCATCTCTCATCTCCCGCCTAACACAGCAGGAACAAGGAATCACGCAACAGAAAACAAGTATTCTTCCGTGCAGAAGACTTGCGCCTTTCCGACAGTGTACTTCCCTCCTCCGCCAGATTTCCTGTGCCGCTGCGGCTGACACACGCTACCCGTATCCACCGTGCTTGAACCGAGCATCTTTTCTGGCTGTCTGACCGAGGATCGCGGGTTGGCACTGTGCCGCTCCTGACTGGCCCGACTAGCCGAAGAGCGCCAAGACGCTATGAGGTTGAAGAGCTGAGACAGATTTGGAGAAGTCCTTGTCTCGAGGAGCCATGGCTTGATCTACCGTTCCGGTGGTTACAAACTATCATATGGTCCATTGCAGTCGCTAACTTCCTCAAGCTGCTCCTACGTCTCTAAAGGCTTGCGGCGGCAGTCTTAGGTTTTGCTCTGTCTGTTCAGTCCATCTGCTCTTGTCTGCTTGATCAGCTGTCGAGGATCAGAGCTCAGGTGACATCCTGTGAGTCACCTGCGGCTTTCTGTGCAAGCCGAAGACTTCTTGTCGTGTTTGGTCCTGCCTTTTCGTATTCAGGGCTGAAGTTCAGATGAGTGATGGCAACGTCGTCCTGGCGAACGAAGCTTTCCCGAGCTACCCTTCACGGTCACACCACTGGCAGACGGTCTTGGGAATGGGAGGGCCCTTCACGGCATCACAGAACAGGCCGCTGCGCACAACTCTCGTGTTCTCCGATCCCATCGATCGGTGCCAAGGTCCGTGTGGAAGAGACTTGCAAAGCCAAACTTCAACAAGGCTCCAGGTATATCCCAGTAGTTGCGAAGCAAACACTCCTTGACAGATGGATCCGGTGCATGATGCGTGAACTCCGAACCACTACAGAAACGTGCACGGATCCCTTCCCTGCAAGAGCAGCTGGGGAGACGAGGAGTATGCCAAAGTCCATGGCTCTTTGGATGAGTCGCTGTCTGATCCTCCGTGGCCAGAGGTGGCAAAGGCTCTGCAAAGCTTCTCAGCCAAGGTGTCGGCATTCGGCTAACCATCTCTCGCCTGAGCTATGCAGCTCCGAGATCATGCAGACACACACGGAGCATCTTGGCCCACTGCTGCGTGATCAGCTGCGAGGCATTGTACTGTGCCACTACGCTCTTCAACACCTGAAGCTGGAAGCTACTGGTAGTGAACTTGCAAAACGAAGGCCACTGTCGTGCCTCGTTGGCAATAGAAGGCATCACTTTGTCATCGAAGTCCAAGCCTAGGTTCCTCGCAAGAACGACATGCATTCAATGCCTCAGTACTGTTGCGGTCAGTGCACAAGCCTGTAGATCTCTGGGAGCTTCTCTGAGTCTGGCCTGCCAGACATGCCGACATGCAGGACTGAAAACCAGAGGCTACTGGGCCGCTTGCTTGCAGAGCGCCCTGAGCGTTAGGTTGACCTGACATGGGCCACGGCTGTGGCTTCGATTTGTATGTCATTGAGTCATTGACCACTTTCTTGCATCCAAGGATCCGTTTGCAAGTCTCGCGTTCCTGTGTTTGAGGTCCTCAGTTGGCCCATCTGGTCGGGCTGCAGGAGCAAGTCTCCAAAGGCAATTGAGCTCCGGTCACCATGTGTGGTCTAGCTCGCACGTCGAATATGATGGCCCGCTCGAAGTAGGGCATCATGAAGTGAACGCCTCGTCGAGCAAAGATGAGACTACACTCTCGGACTCGTGGCCTTTCAACCACGCCGCACCCCAAGGCCGTGGAAGCAATGACACAGAACGGACCGTCCAGCTGCGACGAGCCGAACACAGCGACTTGCCACTGCGACTAGCAGAGCATACAAGTACAGCACAGTACACAACTCTGAAGACTCTACGTCTCGGCGCCGCTCCAAGCCTTCCTTGAAGGTCTGGTTTCCGATGCCGAAGAATTTGCTGTACTGCGACAGCTGCAGAGCGGTGTGAGCTCACCGATGTACCATGACAGGCTGTCACACCCACAGTCGGTCCTTGATGGACATGTGGCCGGCGTCGACTGTGTAAATAGAGTTGGTGACGACATAACCAGCACCAGCCAAGACCTGAGCGCATGGTCCATCTCCATTGTGGGCAATATCTCGGACTGATGTTTTACCAACCCACTTTCGTCAACAACTGCCATCCGAGACGCAGCTGCCCCTGCCGCCAAGGGCGTGCCCGTTTGCGCGACTCTTTGCAGCCTGACACCGAAATCATGTTGTCTTTTCGTAATGGAATATCACGGTGTTGCGTCTGTTCCTCCTCTACAACGGGTCCTGTGCTGCATGCTCCCGCACGTTGTTCCCTCTCTCGTTCTCTTACACACGAACATCACCATCTTCAAGGTGCTGACAGCTTGCCGATGTCGAATCGCGACCTGCTGGCATGAGACAGAGCCTGTGAACGGCAAAGCTCAGCAATGCACAGCAATGCAAACGGCTTCAGGGCGGAACATGGCGAGCGCGAAGCCCCAAATGACAAAACTGCAGCTAACCCTGCTTGGGCCTTCAAAGCTAAGCTGCACATTGCCGACTGATAAAGGAAGATAAAACAGGGAGCAACGAATGGAGAGCCACTCGGGCAGGTCGCAAGCAGTCGAGGTTCATCTTTTCTCGCAGAGTTCGCTGCCTTGAGCCCCCGAGCATCGCACTCTGGCAACCCCAACTCCCCAGGCCGAAACCCGCCCCAACCGGGTTTGCAGCCGGATTTCTGTAAAGTACCGGAAAAAACTGTTAGCCGCGCCGGCCATCAACGCTTACTGCACTTCATGGCGCTGAGACTGCGCTGAGTCGCGCCAGGCACTTTGCCGTTCGGGCAGACACCTCTGCGAGGCCTGAGCTCACACTCTTCAGGAAGCTGCGCCTCCCTTGACTCTGCCTTGCCTTGAGCCGGAGGCTTCCGATGTCCAAGACTTCCTGGACCGCAAGATCACACGAGGCCAAAGCCAGGATTCAGCCCCTTCCGTCCTTTAATGCCGGCAACACCTCTGCAATGCTGTCGACTTTCAGCAAACCCTGACAGCAGCACACAAGGCTAAATATTGGCCTTGCAACTGCTGAACGTCAGCTGCGACACGATGCTGCCCTTGCCTGGAGAGCCGCCACCTGGCTCAGAAGCCGCATTACTCAAACAGTCATCCAATGCAGCTATCCACGCACCAGAAGCCGTCTACTTTATCGCACTGACAACATTCATTCGATGCAACTGTAGGCCGTTTCTGCTACTTTATCGTACCGAAAAGCGCCGGGTCACTACAGCAACTGCGGACTGCTGAGGAATTCGCAATGCGGTAAGCGGCAACGTGTTCGTCACAACTTTGGACCAGCGTCTCGGCACCTCACGGCTTGAACACAAGCGACAGTGCTGTTGCACACCACGAGCGCACACGAGCGCACCACCCGACTGGGCCCGAAGCATGAATGCAGTTCAACTTTGGAACATCGCATGGTGGACGACAACGAGTTCAGCAAAGCCACCTGCAGCTCAACCAAGGGCAGGGGCGTTGGCAGGTGTTGCACTACGTGGTTAATCAGAGCTTAATCATCGTGTGTGCCTGTGCAGAATTTGTCTCCACCATCTCCGTAATCTTCTCCAGACATTGACTGATGGACGTTCCTCAGCTATCAAAACTTTTCTGGTTGGCGACCGTGATGCGACAACTTGGGGGCATGCTGTCAGCATCAGCAAGCTGCAGGCCGAGTGCAACTTCGCTCCAAACCTGCAATGCAAGCATACAGTATTGCAGGCCTAGTCCTGATGCATCCAAGCAACCACCCTTGAAAAAGAATGCTTTGAGTGGTGATCGAAGCTCTCTGCCATGACGTATCAACGATTAACAGCTTCGACAAACTTGCACGGATCTATCGTCCATCGCCATGCAAATCTCGGACATCATTTGTTCAACATAGTCACTGCGGGACACTGAGTTTGCAGACACGCACGAAACAGTTCCACGAGGCATGGACTCTCGAGCTGAAGGCTGGGAAATGCGAAATGTTGGGTGATGGTGGACCTGCACATATTATCTCCACGGAGCCCAGGCCTGCACGTGTACCCGGTGCTGAAGAAGGCTTGAGAACCAAAGGTGTGCACAACTATTGGCGGTTCCCCAAACCCTCATGTCGAAAACTCCATAAGATAAACAACCTTCGGAGGCCATCGCAGAACTTGCGCGGTGGCGTGCTCAGGTCCCTTTCTTGCTGTAGGCCGCAGAGGAGCCTGTAGACTTGAAAGGATGAGATACGCCTTACTGCACTGGTGGAAAGCCCAAGCGAGCAAGACGTGCTTAAAACTATGCTTGTGCAAGCTGAACGGTGCGACAAACTGAATTCTCTTTCGGGCTCCAACAACCAAGCTTTTCAAATCAAAAGAAGAGCAACCACATTGGGCCTCGTCGTTGCTTCGTTGCCTGACGTGAAGTGCATTTTGAGTGAACCAGCTACCCGTGAAGTCAAAAACAGCAACGCCGAATCATAAGCTTCCAGCTTAACGATAAGTTCATGAACTCGCTCCACCGCCTGGGCCGGAGACGTGCCTCAGATGTTTGCATCTACTGTCTTCACGTTGGCCAATGTTGGCCAGCAGGGCCTGAAAACATTCAGGCAGCGACTTGGTGGCAGCTTCAAAGCCGGGAAGACGTCTCCCCACGCCTGCTGGCGGCTTTGTTTAATGACCGATCCGGAGAATGCTGGCAACTGCGCTCCCAAAACAGTCGACAAGCGCCCAAAGAACGATGAACATGAAAGCACGAGTGATGATTACCCGCGTCTATCTGCCCCGTCAAGAAATCGAATATCCTAAATTACGAACGTGCACCTCCTACATCCTCCTACTCACCTGCATTGCAGATGCGACTAGTCGCTCCAAAGTGGACCAGTCCTCGTGAGACGTTGAAACGACTTGAAATAAATCGCGGCTATCCTTGGCGAACACATGCAGATGGAGTAACTACGTCGGGATAGTTTGGAGGTGCTGCTGCGTCGAATAAGCTGAACTAATCCTGCGATGTTCTCAATTATCGCAATTCTGCGTGGCCTTCTCGTTCGCACGGTGCCTGAAATCACAAATGCACATTCTGTAGAGATGTTGGCAACATCGAGCAAACCCTTCCTCACCGTGCTTGCACGGAAAAACGAAACTCGGGCATGGGCGCTTCAACCACAGCCACGAGCTTCTCTGTCAGCTCCGTGGTCGAGCTACCTCCTGAGCAAGGCTCAGTAGTCACGCGTTGGAGATTCGCGTAGATCGCTGCGCAGCACACCTTCGGGAAGCTCTAGCACGTTAGCCATCCCACGCAGGGCCTGCGAACCGCACATTCTTCACCCACCGCGGCTTTGGCAGCGAACATGCAGGGTGAGCCGAGCCTGCATCGAGTCCTCTTGCCTGCACGCTCACTATGGAAATCCTAGTTGACGTGTGAAGAAAGCTGGAAGATCTGATTGTTGATCTTGGCTTCTAGCGACCTTTGGAGAGCACCAACACCCTCTAGAACTCGGCTGGCTGGGCAACCTGACATGTTTCACCAAAAGCTGCTGTAGTCAATGCCAGGTGACCTCTGCCCGTGAGTAAGATGCGCACCATATGGCAAGCATAAACTATGAGCAATGTCGTTGCAAGCCTTGCAGATAGGCAAGTTCTTTTGAGAAGGGTGCAAAGAACTCGTAAGAAATCGGAGACCATAGTCTAATCTGGTGGGGGTCTATGCTCGGAGGGCTTTGACGGTCTGAGGTTTGGGATGGTGTGCAAGCTCGCTATTGCGTCCATCCGTTGCTGGGAGCTGGTAACGTGCCATTTGGCAAATGGATCGACATCTCGCAAGCACACAACGGAGCACCGTGGACCGAGACTGCAGAGCACGGTTCCAGGATGGCTAAACTGTGTCAGGCAGCATCTGAGTTAACTTGGCGCGGACTTAGCCCTTCACCGTCTCTTATAGGGTGGGGTGGGTGTGTGCAAGAACTCGCTTCTACTAGCTTCACACCTCAGAGCGCAACACTGCTTTTCTATGCGCTGCTGTGGCAACGGTCGTGCGTATCATTCAGGGCAGAAGTGCAAGCCACGAAAGCTGGCCTTCTCGTTCGCACGGTGCCTGAAATCACAAATGCACATTCTGTAGAGATGTTGGCAACATCGAGCAAACCCTTCCTCACCGTGCTTGCACGGAAAAACGAAACTCGGGCATGGGCGCTTCAACCACAGCCACGAGCTTCTCTGTCAGCTCCGTGGTCGAGCTACCTCCTGAGCAAGGCTCAGTAGTCACGCGTTGGAGATTCGCGTAGATCGCTGCGCAGCACACCTTCGGGAAGCTCTAGCACGTGAGCCATCCCACGCAGGGCCTGCGAACCGCACATTCTTCACCCACCGCGGCTTTGGCAGCGAACATGCAGGGTGAGCCGAGCCTGCATCGAGTCCTCTTGCCTGCATGTTGCCACATGCTATACTCCCTTGGCATCTGCCAGCTTTTCAATTCTGAGCTTCCGGCGCCTTTGAGATCCCTCGAACCTTGCCCAGCAACTGCTCGATTGAGGCATCTAAGCTGCAAAGCAAACGCACAAGCAGTCACAAGCAGATATGTGGCATCTTGAGGTGTGCTGCTTCGTCGCACCAAGGACAACACCACCTGGAAGCTGCAGGCTTAGGGCAAGCTCCTGCATGGCCGGTGCTTGTGCTTACGAGTATGTTGCAAGAGGGAACAAAATCATCGTCCTGCGATGATGCCTGCTGCCTCCGAACTGCTTACTAGTGCATGAAACTTGAAACACAAGCTGCACTGGTCCCATGCCTCTTCGCTGATGCCAAAACACTCCGCAGCCTGTGAAGTGCCTCCGGTCGCCGGTCAGAATGAAATCACAGGCCATCCTGGAACTTCTCGGCGTCGGCCTTGTGAAGCTTGACCGGGCCGCAGTGCTCCTGCATACGCGCAGGCATATCCACAACATCCTCTTAGACACGGCTGCGTTTGTTGCAGAAAACGGGCGCCGTCCCCCAGCCAATGCAAGGCCTAGCCCTCGTCGGAGCAAACGACTGAAACTCACGAAGGCGGCGCTCAAGCTCAGACCCTGGGCAAGCCTTCGTGCCTTCGGGACCGTGCCGCCAGAGTCCAGCATGGAAGAATCGAAATGAAGGGGCACAAGCATGGACACAGGCATGCGCATGCACATACACATGCACTGACATACACATGAGACTGTACGTCCTGTTTTTGTTGTTGCATTGGGCATTGCAGGAGAGGGATCCAGAGTTCGGCTCAGCTGCCGGCCGTCAGCTCATGACGGCAGCCATGCATCAGAGCTGCACTCTGCTTCAATGGGATGCTCTGGGCGGCACCGCAGACCCGAGCGATGAGTACCATGAACACACCAAGCTTGTACAGTATGTACAGAGGTTCATCGTGCGGAGATGCAGGGACGAGGATGAGCCCACACACACACACACGTGAATACTATGTATGTATATGTGTGCTGTCTGTCTGTCCGTCCGTCTGTCTGTGCGGACGTACGTACATGTATGTGTGCATGTATGTATGTATGTATGTATGTATGTATGTATGTATGTATGTATGTATGCACACACACAGAGATGCACACAGGACAGTACAGTTTCTGCTGTCAACTGTGTATATATATATATATATGACCTTGTGCTGGCCAGTGCTGGCAGCTATTCTTGAAAAACCACGGACATAGGGACATGTTTGCCATAACACATGTATGAATGCATGTAGACAGGGAGACAGACAGCCAGCCAGACAGGCATGCAGACAGAAGACAGACAACACAGACCGACCGACAGACAGACAGCCACAGACACACACGAAAAGACATGACGACTCGTTGCCGAGCCTTCAGCGCTTCCAAAGTCCCCTCAGCCAGCCTTACGCGCATCGCATTCCGAGGGGGCAGCACATGCTTGTAAGCACTGGTAGGCGGCTGGCTCTAGACATGTCTGCGTCCGCGCATTCGCTGCGGCATCTTCCAACGACCTGCGAATGCCCAACAAAAGTAGTGACGGAATTGCACTGTGCATTGCTGTGCTGGTGGGCGCCTGCAGTGTTGAATCAGCCGACCCACCTCAGAGCGGGCGAGGATCTGTTGAAAAGGTCTGAAGATCGAAAGCGTTGCAGTGGGCTCCTGGCCTCCGGCACCACTTCGGCCACGCTGGGCACACGCACGAGCCTGCCCCGATCCCAGATGATCCCAGGCTTCCAGCACAGAATGCGGAGGTGTCCTGCACAACTCCACCAGCAACGCGCACAGATCCGGCTTGGCCAGCTGATCCTCTGCGACAGAGAGATACAGAGAAAGAGAAAGAGAGCGAGAAAGAGAAAGAGAGAGAGATAGAGAAACTGAACTGATCGGATCACGGAGACGGCTGTAGCTTGAAGGCAGCGAATCGGCTCGGCCTCCAAGGCCGCTGCATCTAAGCCAAGGCGCCGCAGCTCCTGAGACGAGGCGCGAGCGAGGCAGGCCGGGCAGGCCGGGCAGGCCCGGCAGGCGCGATGGCTTTGGGTTTCCCCGCCTTGTCACGCTGAATGAGACTCCGCGTGTCTGTCGTCTTCCAAGCTTTGCGCACCTTTCAGGAGCTGCTACGTCCTTCGTCGTCCTACGGGTCCTGCCCTTAAAGTGCGACAAGATACGACGAGGAAAACATTCAGGTCAGTTCTTTCTGCAGGCGGGCCCGGAAACCATGAAAGTGAGCCTCGGCCAGCTCCTCCCGTAGCTTCAGCACCTCGACGCGGTAGTCACGCATGCTCACGTGCTGCAATGGCAACTTTGGCTTGTTGAAGCAAACTACCATTCATGCTTAAGTCTGCAGGCGGCTCAACACTGTGGTGATGCTCCACACATCAAGGAATTCCAAGTGCCAAAGGCTGTACTCCCACACGCCCCACCACACGCAGATAAACTCTTGAAGGAATCGGCAGCGGCACCACCTGAGGTGCAAACTTCTCGCTGCAGCCTGGTGTCCACGGGTCGCGACTCCCTGCATGGCGCTGGCAACAGACGTAACCGCACCAAAGCAAGACCCGACGCTGGTGTCCTTTCCAGATATCCATGATGCTTGAGAGCAGCGCGGACCAAAGCTAATGGAGGGAAGGTCAGCCGCGTTTTCTCGTGTGGAGCTGCACGAAGTTGCACTCAAGAACAACTCCCGCAAGCTCCAAAAGAGCTACCACTAGCTTTCGTGACATTGATAGTTTCACTGGTGTAGAGCTCCTGCATGAGCATACAAAACTCGGTCACGCTTGGTGTGGCTACAAGGCCACATGATCTGCCACATGTGTCTCCTTTTTGAAATCACCTGACGAACAGATGAACTCGGCACACAATGTCGCCTGGCCCTGTCATGAAGTTCGGTCTTCAGCTGCGCGACTTGCTCCTCAACTCTAAACTTCACGCCAGTCCACCCAAGACCGTTCCCTTCCTGTCCTCTGCTTGTCGACAAGAAGCAGACAGCCGGCTGATCTGGCGCACACTCCAGGAGACGGCAGAGGCTGATTGACTCACATGTTTCTTGCCTGCTCGGAATAGTGTAGATGGCTCTCTTTCAGCTGCTCCTTCGCACAGGCACAAGCCAAGGCAATCGACCGACCTGTATGCTGCGGTTCGCAGCCACGCGCTTGGCACAGTTTCTCCACTCCTCCAATCGCAATCTTCGATCTCTTTCCTCGGCAAGCGCCTGAGACAGGCCAAGGCCTTCTACAAGGTGACAATGAGCGAAAGGCTGTGCCTCAGCATCCCCTGTACTTGTCTCCGGAACATCCTGCAGGACTCTCGAAAGTATTTCTGGTTGGCCTAACATGAAACAAGAGAAGCCTCAACCCTTCGCACGACCACACGAGCTTTGACGGCCTTTGCCAGTTCGGCATGGCAGGATTCCGAATTGCTAACGCTGTCGGGCTTCATTGATTCATTGATCACATGCGCAGCATTCGTGTTAAAGCCGCCGACCACACTCTTCACATCCGGCCTGCATCTGTCGGAGCTTTTCTTCCGCCTCCTCCAACTGAAAACTGAGAATGTGGACCTGGAAAGAGGAACAGAAGCAGGGTTCAACCGTCGACGGTTTCGTCGTGCCTGCTTTCTGAGAGCCGATGCTTCTGCCTCGCTTAGCGGCTCCCAACCCGTTGACTTCGTTCAATCCGAACGGGCATGCACAGCAGGCACACGATCTTCTTTTCCAGCCTCGCCTCTCCGAGCTCTCCGAGCTCTCCGTCTCGCGTCGTTCTGTCGCCAGAGCCCAGAGCGGATGCCAGACTCTGCTGGGCCAGGCAGCACTCTTCGTTCCACGATTCGGCGAGTCGTCGACACGTGCAGGAACACTCCAGGCTGCAGAGATCTGCGCAGCCCTCATCTGAAGTCTCCGTTCGGATGTCTCCACGGAACTGGACGCAAGCAGCCTCTGAAAGCTGGCACAAGTACCAGGCTGGCAAGCGCTCGCCGGCAGGTCCGCAGCGGTCAGCTCTGCAGCCTGCGCGCAGTTCAGCAGCCGCGGGAAAGGTGGGCACGAATTGAATAAACGAACGCAGCCAAGAGTGCAGAGAACTCGAGCCTGCGGAGAAGAGCCGCTTGCTGTTCCCGGATCTCTGAAGCAGAAGTCAGGACCTGGAAGTCGCCACGAAGGGCACAGAGCTGAGCCAGCTCGAGCTACAACTCAAGACACATGAGACGTGTTGCACCTCCCGCAGGCTCGCCTCAGCACGGGCCACGTCGCTGCCACTTCCAAGCTCAATGCACCACAAGCCGCTCAAAACGCACTACTGTACCGGCTGCATCTAAGCTGATGTTCGCTTCTCTGTAGAAGGGAGCAGTCTCTCTTTCCGACTCCATATTCATATGCAGGACAGCTGCAAGATCAGCATGAAGTGATGCCCAATTCTTGACCTCCACTGTCAAAAAGTCAGCAAGAACTTGCCAAGACAAAGAATCTGACCCTCGTTTGCACCCGAGGGTCTTTGCCGAGTTTCTGGCCGAGTTTCTGGCAGCATGGGCTGGAGAGCACGTCTGCGAAGCCACCGCGAGAATGGAAGCCGCACCTGACCTCAGGCACCGCGTCTGCCGCTCCGCTCTGTCTGCTGTCCGTTCGTGTACCAGGACCCCCACAAGGAACCAGCATCTCCAGAAGTCGAAACCTGTAACAACCAGGACCAGAGCCTCTAAGGAAGGTGAAACGATGCACTGCTGCACTGCCTCCAAGCTTTGGGCCTCTCGTGACAGTCCTGCATGGAGCGAGTTTGTCCATGTTTGCGGCCAGGTCAGGAATAGAGTTCGGTCCTCCAGCACCACTTCCAAGCCTGAGGACCAAGGCAAGGACCCAGAAGTCTCTCAATCCAAGGCCTGGGACTGATACGGACTTGGTGCTCCCCAATCCTGGGTTCATGTGTCGGCAAGCTGCCCATGCCGGCAAGCTGCCCATGCCCGCGGAAGGCTCGAGACTCTGAGGACGGCACACTGCGAAAATCTTCTGATACCTCCCGCAAAAGTCAAGGCCGCTCCAAGCTACATCACGAAATCATTCGCCGCCCTCTGCCTCACTGACGTTGCTTGAAGGCGGCTCGGGGTCCAAGCCCTTGACGTTCTGCGAGGGAGTCGGAACATGCGCTCGCGCAACAAAAAAGCAGCAGCAATCCTGTCCTCCTTGGAACCTCCCAGACCAACTCCTGCAAGCTCTCACAGCGATACGAGTGCCCTACAGCACCCTGAGCCAAACAGGCCACGGACAGCACCACGGGCGTGGGGTTCAGTGCATGTTTCCAGAGTTATTGGCGGAGCTGCAACTCATGGCCGATGATTTACGAGGGGGGTGGTCGGCTTACGAACCCCTCTATGGTCAAAGATTACAAGCCTGTCCGCCTCTCCTCGACTCTCAGGCTGCAAAGCCTTCGAAGTCCTCAGCCAGGTGCCGGCGCATTGCAACATCCAGCTGCATCCAGCACAGTCTCAGATGCGAACTCCGCGCATGCTCCAATGGGTGCAGCCTCAGCAGCTCCAGGCGCAGGCAGGTCCTGTCACACAGCAAGCCAAGATGTCTGCTAAGGACAACACTACCTTCTACGAGACGCTATCATGCTTTATCTACGAGCCTTGTCTCGCGGTTGCGCTGCACCTTGCGAGCAAGAGACGTAAGATCTTGCCAGCAGCCCGCACTCAGTGCAGACGCTGCCTCCATCGGAAGGATGGGCCGAGTGCACAGATCCGGCGGACCTCAGCTACTGGTGCAGTCGGAGGGTCCTAGCGAAATCGAAAGCTTTACCTCTAGGCCCAAGCGAATCGGACCATGCTTCTCCGGAGTCCAATGCCTCGTCTTTGACTGGCTCCGCATGGGCAAAGCTTCCCATAGCTTCCCTTGCCCTCTGGGGCGGCTGCCTTTCTTGAGCTGGCCTCTCGCATTGTCTGCATATCGGCAGGTCGGTCCCCGGCCCCAACCTCACTCCCTGCCCGTCACACCCTCGAACCTATCCGCAGCTTGTATTCTGGCCTGTGCTACACTAGCGTCCTTCAGCGCTGTGACAGGGGCTTCTGGTCGAGTTGGCGAACTCTGCAAGCGAGAACGAGCGGCGGCGTCGACGATGCAACGAAATCCATGGGCGGCTGGTGCGATTGCTTCCTAAGCCTTCCGAACCGAGGCAGGTGTGCTGACTAGTTTCGACACTTGTTAACCCAGAACAAGCGCACAAAACTAAACATACTGACCCTTTGTTGCCCCCGCCCTCATTTAGAAAAATGCTTGACCAACCTGTGCTTGCAGCAGGTTTTGCCTGGCCTCCTGTCGGATGGTTTTTGCCGAAACAATATCCGATCTCGTGATCATCACCACCATCATCACTGTCCGCATCGTTAATCTACGCCATGAGCATCATCCCGCCAATGCGTTTGGGTTCAGATCGGCTACTCCTGAAAGAGTGCTTGAGACTGGGTCATGTCTGGGCACCGGGTCCGGCACTGGGACAGACCACAGGTATAGATCCATGCTATGCCGGATGACCAGGCGTCTCAATCAAAACAGGAAACACGCGGAGCGAATATCAACGGAGTTCGCAAATTTACTTGCTCGTTTTCTACTTGTTCAAGAGATCATCGCGTCTTTGCCTCAGACTCGCTCCCGACCATGTCCGACACGAAGCTTGCATCTTCATCTTCATCCTTCGCAAAGGCGAAACAACGAGAGTGTCAGATGGCGAGCTGCGGCGAGCTAAGTTCTTCCGCCATCTCTCCTGTCTCACGAGGACCTCATCTCCACGGTCAGCACCTGTAGTGGCCGCCACCATGGAAGCACGTCATGTCTGAGCAAATTGGCTGCTGAGGTGGCGACTCTTTTTCTCATCCTGCGTAGAAGCACACGGGTCCTTCTCATTGGATGCTGCAAACCCATTCTGTGCAGAGTGCGAAGAAGCACTTCGTTGCCTTGGAGGCGTTGATCCCTTCCTCGTCCTGGCCGCAAGGTTTTCTAGACGAAGGCCTATGCATGCAGGCTGCCGAGGCCTTCGGCATTTGTCGATGCTTCTCCAGAAGCTTCCGGTAGTGGCCATCCTGGCAACAACCAGAGGAAACGAAAGCTCATGACAACTTCAGAACACAGCGCTTGAGGGCTGTGCGCAGGGATGATCCCAGGAGCTCTCCTCTGTTTCGAAGTTGAAGTAGAACACCTTCGGACGGCTACAGGGTGCAGGGCACTCCGAGGCGGAGGGCTCCGCCTCACCCTTTTCAGTGCAGGTCTTCCACCTGTGGGCCGGGCTGCGACATGTGACAGCGACAGCAAGGAGCAAATTGGCCAAGGCACGGCTGGGGCACTGGAGCTGCTACGCCTTCTCGCGCGATCCACAGCAGGTGCCTCTTCGCATTCTCCACGCACACTGGCACTGGAAGTAGTCAGTCACGGATGCTTCGCAGTCATGGTATGACAAGCTCGTGCCTCTCTGCTTCAACATCCATGCCCAAGTACTCTGCATATTCCAAGACCTCTGCATAGCCGCAGAAACACAAAGCGCCTCTGCGTACCGCTGTTGAACAAGTCAGCGGGTCGCCTGCTCCTCTGTAGGGGGTTCATCCTGCACAGGCTGAGCATTGGCTTGACATCACCAGAAATGCCTTTCACGACTCCTCGTCTTCTAGGATCTCAATCTCTGACCTCATAACTGGCCGCTACCATTTCCTCTCCGACAGCCTCCTCCATCTGGGCACTGGACTGGGATCCTGTACTGGCCGCGGCCTAAGTGCAAAGGACCATATGCCAACGATTCAGAGAGGCCAGACCATCCGAGATCGCGGCCATGTGGCACTGTAGGCGGCTAGACTCGACAGAGCAGAAGCATGGGCAGGTGCTGCCTCTCTTTCCACTTAGATACGCCGCGTAATTCTTGAGCTGTTCTACATCATTGTAAGACTTGCCGTCGTTTGCTCGAGCCATCGAAGCTGCTGCGAAGTGTTATGGGCCATATCGAAGTCAACTGCTGGAGATGGAGCCGCCGACTGGACATTGAGACACCGGGGTGCTTTGCCTGCGCAGCTTCCGACGCTGCCTTGTGAGCTATGAGCGCCTGGCGGCGCTAATTTGGCAACATTCTCATGACTTTAAAATGCTGTGCCTCCACAGGATCTTCACGAGCGGCCTCACTCAAGCCGCTGTCAGCTACTCTGCAATCGAAGAGGAATTGAAGGAGCCATTGAAGCAGCAATGAGAGATTTACTGAGATTCGAATGTCGCAAATCTGGACTCAATTGACTTCTGATGCAAACACTTGCAACAGAAGAATGTGACTGTCTTCGACCATGCGTCGCATCACTGGCTTTCTGCTTGTCTCGGCCTTCTTCGAGACGCGCACCAGAGCTGAACGCTCGCGCTCCTGGAATGAGTCAGTTTCTTCACCAGGCTGCTCTGCTGATTCAGGGTGTTTGCATGTCTCCTTGCGCTTGGCCGCCTCCGATAGGGCCTGCTCCAGACGGGATTTGAGTTTCTCCAGCTCCTGCAAGGGATTCAGCTGGCAGTGTATTCGAGTGAAGAATACGGCTGGGAGAAGCTGTCCCGCTCACGCTGCCGCGCTGCAATCTGCACAAAAGCAAGGCCAAGCGATGCGCGGGCATTCCCGGAACTCGGCCCTCGGCCCTCGAAGAGGCCTCCGCTTTCTGGGCCCGAACCGTGAGCTCCTGCAGCTGCCGGTCGCGCGAAGCCTGCAGCTTACTTTTGCCAAGCTCGGCGTCCGATCCTTACGGCTTCCGGCCTGCCTGCGGAGATGGCCTTGAAGATGGGCCAGAGGGGCTCCAAGTGCCTCACGGAATCGCAGAAAGACCCTCGCCTTGCAGGCAAATGTGTGGCTGCACTCGGTGGCACACTTTGCGCAGGCACAGAGGATCCGAAGCTCGTGTCACCGCTCCTTGCGTCGAAAGCATATGAAGCCATCCGAAGTCAGAGACCCTCACTCATGTATGCCGATGTTCAATCAAGCACGGCTCTTTGTAAGCATGGCTGGGTCAAGATACCGCACACATTGAGTGAAACGTTCTGAAACGATGAAAGGAGGTGAGATCGTGCATCGGCACAAATTGTCACTGGTGCGTGTCGGGAGCAAGTGTGTTGGACCTTCAGTCAGCGATAGCTCTTGAATGGCTGCCTTCGGGGCTGACTGACTGCTTAATTTGAGATGTCGATGCCTTGGTGCAGCTGGGGCTCGCTTTTCCAGTACTTTTCCGCATGTCTGGTCGGGCCGCGTTACGCATTATCCTTGACGGCACAGGATGTTACGCTACCGAGCAGCATAGTACAGCCGAGACACGGATCTCCCTTGGAGAGATTTTCATACCCGTCACCTGTGCGGCGATTCAGATCTCTCTTGCAGCATGAGTGACTGTCCTCAAGACACACCCTTCAGGCGATCTGATACAAAGACCGTCCTTCTTGAACTGGAGGCAAATACTCAGATAGCCGGCTCACCAAAGAAGCGCTGCTTTGCCGAGCTGTCCTGGGATCGCCAAGAGCCATGGGCCACCATACACACCGAAGGAGAAAGATAAAGAACTCAAAGAGCTGTGCCTCTCGTACTGCACTTTTCGCGCACACTGTGAGTGCCTTCTGGCAACCAATGGCTTTGTGTCCACGATTCCACGAGGAAACCTCCCTTTCTGTGCCAAGTGTTGGCTATCGTGGGCCCTAACCAACTTTTCTGCGTTGTTGGCTCTCAAGCTCAAAAATGTTGCAACATCTTTGTCGCACTTGGCGCCTTGAGGCGTTTGTCTCATGCTGCTGTTCCCCTCATGTTCAGCCGCACTTCAAAACGCTGTAGGCTACCAAAGGGGGACTGGCAACCCAGCGACTTGGAATCATCCAACATGGTGGACTTCATGTGGTCTCCAGTCAGGGGAAAGACGTGCGGCCACAGCTCGTACGCCCGCAGATCACCCTGCCAAGGTTACGACAGCTTCACAAAAACGTTGGCTCTCCCAGAGAATGCAGCCTGTGACAAGAGCATCCCATCAATGTCGTCGATGGGCTGCCCCTGAAGGTGGGCCAAGATTGCTGGGATGGAGTCGGCCTGCGGATCAACAACCACGCAGGGTCACTTACCAGTACCATGTCTTTCGGGTTTGTGCTGCAACCTCAACTTCTCGCATCAAGGCCTTGACCATGTATGCGCCCGTGCCAGCATAGTGATACGCGGGGCCCCAGAAGTGCCACCAGAATGTTTCCTGCCCGACCACACAGTATCAATCCGTTTTCGCGGTCGAGGCACTGTGCAATCGAAGGCCTTGAAAGGCTTCCGCATCAAGTATGCATCTGGACAGCCGCTGTCATCTTCTTCTTTGTGGCCAAACTCGTGCTGGAAAGCTTCTTCGAGTTGGTCCACCAGCCCACTCTCCGGAGCATGTGTCTTGGCAAACACCTGCACAGATCTGTCACGGTTAATGAATCAAAAACGGAATTAGACGGAACCTCCGAAGCAATAATCTTAAATGGTGATGCCTTGGCTGCAGTTTGCAGCAGATGATGGCTGGCAGTGGCATTCCTGGGTGCACCACAAGCCGTCGCGATACTAGCTGCATTGGCAAAGCCGTCATTCTCCGACTTTACCAGATGCTCGTCGGCCGTCACATATTAAGCATCCTGCTGTCGTGCTCCTTTGCGCGTGGGAGCTCCGTATAATATCCTGCGTCATGTTGTGTCGCCCTGCGTGTGCGAAGCACAGCAGCTGCAGAAACAGGAGCTTGCACCACACCTCGACATCCAACCACCTTGACCTCAGAAAGGCTGCACAGCACGAGCTGCTAAACCTGTATCATCCGAAGGTCAGCAGCTTACAAACAGCCAATCACGCTTGCTCGAGTGACATCTGAATCTCGTGATCGCTGCGAACCGACACTATCTCCCGTCTTTCGCCAATTCATGAGCGACCCTTCACGCGTCTGGCCGGCTAGGTTGGAGTGGGCGAAAGCTGTTTCTGCACAGTGGACGGCACGTGTGTTGTTTCCACCTCTGCCGCAGTCAGCACTGTCGAAACTCTAGGTTGTCTGCTTGCACATCGTTGTGCTGTTGCACGGTCTCTCCGATCTTATGTACAGCCTTTGGTGCAGCAGCATGTCGCTCTCTCTCGGCACCTGGCTCTGCAGCCAAGACATCAGCCCAAAGCTCGAGGAGTTCATGATGTTGCCCCTATCTCCTGCCAGAAGGGATCACAATGCCAGACAGATCGGAACGCGGACGGAGGAGTCCTGGCTTCAATTGCAGATCTGACGCGCGATTGTACCCCCACCCAGATACCTGTACTGCTGCTTGGGAGATGAAGAATGCACGAGCTGCGATCTACAGTACGTGCCTTCAGCAAACTCCAATCACTTGGAGCGCAGTCGAGCGTCTTCTGTATCAGGGCCTGCCAGTTGTGCCTGAGTGGCCACCGGTAAAACGGTGGGGCGGGGTCTGCAAAAAAGACGCTTTGGCTTGCACGGTATCTCTACGTCATCCTCGAGCACCTCGGAAACAAAATCTCCAGCCTGAAAACCGATGGCAACTTTGAAACTTTGCGTCGAGCAATCGCAATCTGGCCCGGCTGCAGCTGCCTGCACGAAATCCGGCAATACGGCGTTCACTCCAACGTGTTCGCTACAGACTACTTCGCTACAGACTACTGGCTAGGCTTCGCCACAGACTACGACGGACCGCCTGTGAAGCATCTCTAGCAGCTCCGAGTGGCTGACGTAGCAGGCCTCAGAAGACAATGCAGCCCACGCCAGTCAAGCAGGCCATCAGCATCAAAGTGGCAAGATAGAGGGATCTTTGGAAACTCGCTAATGCGCGACAATGCGCGTGTTGATGTTGCGAGGCGTTGTGGATGGGGGAGTCCAATACCGATGGAACTGGCCTTGTGTCCCTCAGCAGACACTTCCACATCTGCTTCGGCAACGGGCGATCTAGCCTAGCGCCTCATGATGGAACACATTTCGGAGAGTCAGGGAGGGTTCATGGATTTGTCTCTGCCTCCCTGTGTGACCTGAGCAGACACCATATAATTGTGACGTACAGGATGTCTTCCTTGTTGTCAAACAAAGTCTGACGTCGTCAAGTTGTAACTGCATGGACTAGGAGTCCTGCAATAGTTGCGTTGGGGACATGGTCCTGCACGCACCCAAAACGGATGCAGCAAGCGACTAGAATCGACAAACCAACCGACATTGATGCCGTCAGAGATCATTCGCGCAGTCCTGCTGGCGCTGTGCATCGAGAAGCTCGCTCGCCAGGTGCTGCTTCTTGACGTACTTCTCGTCGAACCTTCACCAAGTGGGAGTTGAGCAACATCGCATGTCAATGTGCCAGTGTAGAAAGTTACAGTAAGTACCGGACTCGCCGGCATTGATGCGCGCTCGGTCGACCGCCTCAGCCACAAGGTCTTGGTGACACGACACACCGCCAAGAACTGCAATGTGGCCTGGAATCTGTGCAAAGGCATGTTGGCAGCCCTTCCCTGGCCATCAAGCATGCTCAGTTTCTTCTGCAGCTCTCCATGCCAAAGGCTCCACACTTCGTGGCCTGTTGCTCCATATGTGAGCGACGCTTTTCCTCGCAAATGGCAAAGCCACGAATTAGACCCGAAACCCTGCGGTTACATCGGTCGCATGCTGACCATCCTCGGCATCTGTATTGATGTAGTACACCACCACTTCTGGCGGCTTCTGGGTCAAAGCCACATGTCGCTGGACCAAGGACACCTTTCAGGGCTGCATGGCACTCGTACAGTTCGTATCCGGCCATGGCATAAGCATAGAGTCATCCCCGCCTCACCGTGCGAAGAGATCGCAACCGATGCTACCGTGTCCAGGCACTCCGCACGCAGAACAAGAACGCCAAGAAGGCCAAGCCACTGCGGCATGGCACCTGAGCAGCGTCGGCAACGAAATCTGAACTCGGCAGCCGAGCCCTGCAGGAGATGCAACATGTATCAAGGGGTCGCACTCAGCTCTTGGAAAGGCAGAACATGTATATGAAGAAGGAAACGTGTAAAACCACGACTTCCTTGATGCCACTAGGCTTGGGCCGAAAGTCGAATGGAAGTGGAACTTGTACTGTAACATCTCGCAACCGTTAACTGCAAGAGAGCAGTCAATGCGAAAAAAAGCGTTGCAGCTTCTGCAGCAGCCTTGAAGGCAACCCCGATGTGCCTGCTTCCTGAAGTTCCTGCTCTGTGCATTTCTTTGGCCGCCTTCAGTTCTTCCTCAACAGCATCAGCAGGGCGGATTCGTCAGTCCTACCCAGTCTAGTCCGGACAGCTGGCTCCTGTAACTTGGAATTTTCGTGGAGCAGACTGTGAACTCGACCATCACGCCGACATCTCTCCTTCACAGGAAGCCATCCCCACTGCAATGCAATGACTCGTGAGTTCCTCGGTCCGCTCGCCCAGCAATGCCTGCTGCAAGCGCCGTCCGCGATTCTCGTAAGCCAGCAGCACCTGAGCTGAAGCCTGCGCCTGGGCTTCGGAAATTTTGCGAAGCGCTAAGCCCAAGCCTCTGCACATGTCGTCCACAGGCCGTGCCCGTCGGCTATCAGTTCTGTCAACTGGCCACCTGCAAGGCTCACATGACTGCTTAAGGTCCGCGGCATGAGGCTTGGGCGACCCTCGCACCTGGCACCCCTCTCGCATCTGCATCTTTCGACATCAGAACATGTTGAACCTGCGCTCCCACCAAGGTGCTGCAAGAGCTCAAAGTCAGGAGTGAACAGCCTCCTGGAAGCCATTGCGTCTCAGCATATGGATGACTGTCTTGAAATCCCCGATCATGGGTTCCTGACAGCATGCCCAGCAAAGACCGGCGAACAGCACACACCAAGGCCTCCACGTAACTCAAATTGTTAGACGGCCAATTAAAAATGTCCCCAACCGTCCACGACTCGAATATGACGAGCTGCAGCACAGCGAGCGACGAGGAGGACTTAACAAGTCTGTGCTTACTTCGCTCCTAAGACGACCCATAACGACTCCCTTGCCGTCGGCTGCGGTTTCCGGCACACTATCCGTGCTCTGCAACAAACCAACTCGTTTATGATTCAGGTTGCAGATGCCGTCAAGATGTCGCTGCTTGCTGTCATGATGAGTTGGCCACGGAAGCCTCCACACGCAGAGCGCAAGAATAGTAGTCATTCTCAGCCTGAGGGCAATCAAGGAGCCTATCACTTCCAGAACACTGCAATCGTTCTGTGCATCAGGCAGCAGTTGTTCCGCTCTGCAGATGCGACAGTCCTGCATGCAACACGTGCTGAACTAGCATCGACGGCAGATGACGGCAGACTCAGTACTGTTCAGACACGTTTTGCTTCAATCGCTTGAAAACGATCGCTGGAAGATCATGCCGCGGCATGGGGCAAGTCGGGTGGAGCCCATTCAGACGGTTCGAACCAGCCTGCAGTCAGCACAGGTTCAAGACAAACATCTTGTAAGAACCCGACAGGTGGTCCTACCTCCCATATTGAACTTCACGCCAGAGTCGATGAGTCTCTCCAGAAGGCATGTCCCACCTGGTTCAGTTGTGCCATAGATGGTGTAAGAATGTGTGAACCATACTTTGTGCACGACTCGCAAGGCCTGCGACACTGGGTGTGAGAACACCTCCTGAGTGCTGAAGCCTCTCGAATGCTTCCCAAGCTTCGGGATCACTTTGCAACACTAGCACCTGGACCGGGCCTGTCAGAGTCGAAGCGCAAGGTCAGTGCCGTCTCTACCTGAAAGCCGCAACATGCGCAATCAGCAGAAGACGCAGTGTAAGCTTCAAGCAAAACAAAAGTGCAACTTGGCTGCGGCGACTCGAGCTGACTCAAAGTAGCCGTCCGCCGCAATGATGCTGCATTTCGCCTTGCTTGCGCTTGCAAAGGCAGCAGTCAACCCACACTCCTCACGCTGCGAGGCCTGGTGCCCATCAACAGATTCCGCGTGGAGGAAGTAGCCGGTCCACGCACTCAGATCCTTTCTGTTCCGAGCGCAGCAACTGCGCATAAGGAATAGACGGAAAGCGAGAAGCGGGAGAGAGAAGAAGAGGGAGGCCGGAGGTTGTCCCACGTGGATCCTCCACCGCCGGACCCTCGACTTGGTGATAGTCCTGGCAGAAAATACTCGTGAGGGCTGCCCGCGCTCACTTCCAAGTTGGGATGTTCTAGAGAAGCTGGAACATGTCGAGGTCGTACTCCCGCAGCTCTGGCTAGCTCTCTAGTTTGCTGCGAAAAAGAGCTTGCGATGATCATGCCGGCTCTGCCAGTCCCGAAAGACTGGCTCCGACGCCGCTGGTTTCTGATTCCCGGTGATTCCGAGCACGGCGCTTGCCCCGGGTTCAGCAAGGCCCCGAGGCGTGCGGGAGCGTGAAGCAGCCAAGCACTCAGCCCTGACAGTGGCATGACATGACAGGTGCCCGATGTCCTTGCCCTCGACCTTCAAAACACGCAACTCTTCGTCGAGTGTGATGCCATACTGGCCAAAGGGAGCCAAAGCCTCTCAAGGGCAGAGCATGGCCCTCAGCATGTCCCTTCAGCACCCTGACGTCAGTCCTGCCCATCTGGCATCGCCTCAGCAGCTCTACATTCTGGGGGCTCCTGTTGTGTTCCTTGCCGTTTGCCTCCGGCCTTCAGACTTGCGACGCGTTCCGGCGGCAGCATCGCAAACTCCATGAAGTTAAACGTAAGGCCATAGGCCTCGTTCCTTAGGTACTGAACGGGTAAGCACAGCAGCGGAGGGCACTTCCCGCTCAACAGCTCGGCTGCCGCCCAAGCGGCGCCAGATCTGCCTGCAGCATGTTGGACCGCCGTACCAATCGAGTGTCGAAGAAAGAGTTGACGTAGGGAGCTCTCCAAACACCGAGCTTCTTGTCCTAACAACAACAACAACAACAACAACAACAACAACAACAACAACAACAACAACAACAACAACAACAACAACAACAACAACAACAACAACAAACACACACACACACACGCTCCACAATTCCCTTCAGCACAGTCATGGTGTCCTCCGATATCTTCGCCATCTGACTGTCCTGACAGCTCAGCTTCTCTCATCTTGCTATGCTCCGTACATCTGGCGCGTTGGCCTGACATGATTTGGACTGTGGCGACCGGTGACCAGTACTGCGTTGTCTGCCACGACTCTGCCCTGGTCCCTTCTCCAGTGCAATCGAGGCGGAAGCAGCTGCACCGAGCACTGCTTTGGCCCGGATTTCGCCACATGCTACAGAGACCACCTGACTCCGGTGCCTCGTGCACTTCTGAGCTTGTGCTCCGCTCGCCAAGGCTCACCAAGACGTCTGCGTACAACCACGAGTGCGATTCATCGTCTTTTCACATTCCAGAACGGAGGCTCCCTGTGGGACATGTACGCTGACGCTTCCGGAATTGGGGCCTGATCTCTGAAGACTGCTCCGGGTGCCACATCAAAGACCCCAAAGGAGAAAAGCGCAGGAAGAGGTCTCCTGGTCTTCGACGCGTGGCTTCGGCGTCACAAGGCCCGTGCCCATTTGAATGTCCACCTGCTTGACCTGACGAGAGTCTGTCGATGACAAGCGGCAGCGTCACAAGAGGATCAACTGTCTGTTGCAGCACAAGTGCTCCATTACGATCAAACTGCGGAATGAAGCCGCCCATCCTTGCAAACAAAGAGCAATTTGAAGATTAGTTTCACCATACCAGGCCAACACGAAGGCTCACTACCATCTGATCTTGCCGGGCTGCGAAAATGGATCCAGCATTGCACCTGCCACCTGTCAAGGCAAGCACAGCTAGAGCCCGAGTCTTGCCGGCCTACTCTTGTCGGCCTCTGCCCCCATGCTGCCATCTGATGCGGCACTCAATGCTGCCCGAGTCTTCAAAGTACCACCTGACACGCCGGCCACGTGACCGCCACCTCAAGTTGTTCTGAGCTTCAACTCTTCCCCTCAGCCACAATCACATTCCGACTTCAGACCGGGCCTCCACAGTAGCACACGGCGGATCGAGTCGCCTCACCACGACAAATCGCTATAAACATCTGCCCTGTGACACAAGCGAAGCACCTGCCTGCCCAACACTCTCCTGCAGAAATGCAACGACTTGTCTCTGCTTCCACCCTCTGCCTATTCTTGCCGATGCTACGGCACTTCGACGCACCAGTCGACGAAACATAAGTAAGAAAGCGGCAGTCCTTGAAATGCTTGGCCAGCATGTACACTCCAAGATCAGGATATGCGCTTCCGCAACAGGACGGCACAACTGTCACACCAGCCTGGGCAGGAACTCGTGCAACGGACTTCGGGAAATCTAGATTGCGGAGCTCAGCCAGTGAAAGCTGGGGACTGAACATCTCGTGCGTACCGGTGAAGCTCCTGAGAGGTCTACCGGAGTCGGAGGCTCGCCTATTACGAAGCTGTGCAACTGTCCTTCACGCGGAGGCTCCACGGGACCTCTACGACCAGGCACTGCCGAAGTCATGGCCTCTGCAGTCTGGTCGCCTCCATGCTGACGTCCACGTAGTGCGCTTTGCACCAGATGCAGGCATCCACGAGAACCTGCGCCGGCCCGATACATCACATCGCGGCAGGGTCCAGGGTGGCACACAGCTGCCATGCCTCGCCCTCTGCCAGCATATAAGGGCCAGCGACGTTGACCACCACATGAGCACTCCTCGTCAAGTGTCTATTCCGAATCGACCGACATCTGGTTCTGCCAATTTCAAGATATTGCAGCTCGGGCTCTTGACCAGGTCTACAATGGAGACCACATCATCATAGCTTGCAGAAAGGACGGGTGCATCCTGCGAAGGAGCTTGGACAGGCGAAAGTTCTGTCGACACAGAGCTGAACTCCTCCCATGGCGTGTCTTTCAGCTCCCGGTCCCGCATCTCTGCCACCTGCCAGGGCTAAGCGATCAAAAGCTTGTGTCGCTTTTTCACACCTACATTTCGCGCATCAGTGGTGCTGGTGGATTGGGGCATGTTCCACTTCTTTACAGACTCCGAGTCAATCAATCGTCTTCGGAAATTGCTCGATGGTGGTTCTTCTCCTATCTGCGCGAACCCAGCCATCTTCTCTGGCAACAGAGCCCCGTCCTTACACCCCTCCGTTGCCAATGCGTGAAAATTCGTCACACCAGCCTGACCCGAAACCACATGCAGAAGCTATCATGCAGTGGTCCATGAAACTGATACATACATGCCGAAAAGCTGCCAGTCCTGAATATTCCTCAATCTTGCGGAAGCGAAAACTACTGTACTTTGCAATCTTTCGGTGACTTTGAAAGCATCTGCTGCTGTTTTTGAGTGCGCAAGCCGCTTAATCCTTTGACTCCGAGAAGCGGAAGCGATACGATATTCTGCAATGAAGAATCGTGCCAAATGCAGCGACTGTAATCTGAAACCTCTTTCTCAACTTGATTGGCAGATGGGCCTTGGTGGCAGACCGGCCGGCCAAAGCGAAGGTAAACTGCTGCTTACCGGGCTGCAGTGCGCATCTCTTGAGATACCTGGCCAGAGTTTAACAGCGTCAGTAGCGTGCTTGAGGAACCACTGCATACCTGAGACGGAGCACTGCATCATCAGGTAGCCCTGGTAGCCAGAAGCTCCGTAGAATACGATGTCAAAGCGCTTTCCATCCCACCTCCCGCGCACACAATCACAATCCGAACCTGAGGCCTGGATTGCAGCAGATGTTTCTGGCTACTGTCAGCATTTCAGCAGGCCACTGGCTCGCCCAGGTGAAGTCCTTAGAGTGACCATGGTACTACAAGCTAGCATGACTTGAACCTGAGTTTCAGACCATGAAGCGAAGCCAGTGATCCTCTAAACGCGCAAGCGCATCTGGATCCGCATCGCCCACGTCCTCCTGGGCGGCAGATCGAAGACACAACACTGGGTTCACTGCCCTGCTGCAGGCCCTGCTGTCCTGGGCATCAACTTTGGCCAAGGAGTCTGCAAGGGCTTCATATCTGGCATTGTGAATGCTGCTTTTCGGTAATGCTGACGATCTTGACATGTCCAAATCAATCTTTGCATGCCTAAATTAGCGCCTGCACATCATGTCTGCATTGAAGTACTTCTTCTGCAACGGCGTCTGTCCACCTTCATTTTCCTGTCAGAGGGCTCTCAGTCAGGCCTCTCAAGCAGCAAAGAAGCCTTGTCCAATGTGTAGCGTTGAGCAGGACCGGTCCTGTATGTTTCTCAGTCTTTCTGCAGCGGCCGCCGCAGCCGCTTGAGCTGCACTGCCTGCAACCTGGACAGGACACATTCATCCGCCAAATATAAGCTGTCCACACCACCGCGCGGCAGCCTGCACCATCGTCAGTGCATCCTTGAATAGCTACCTAGCACGCCATCGGCCGCTCGAGTTGTGAACCGCAAGTTATTCTGTAGGGGACTGCTGTGCCACATGGCTGGGCTCAAAGTTGCGATCTGCATCACCTAAAGGTAAATTTCTGCTCGATTTCGCTCAAATTTAAAGCAGACTGCTCACGCATGGTTTGAAGCGAATGCGGCAACTTACCTTGCCTATCTGAGCCTTAGAAGCTGCTTCTGGACCGAAATAGCGTTGCTGAACTGGGGTTTGCCGCCATGTGCCTGCTTGGAAGACGCTTAAGCCGAATCCACACGAAGAACTGCAAGTGCCCAGGTAGTTTACATAGCCATGGATGTTCGCACGGGCCGACTAGGAACTGTCAGGTCTAAGTGGCAAAGACACATTTCAGACCTCGGTCCTTGCGTAGCAGGGCTGTGGAACAATGGTCTCCTCGGGTTGCTGCATTGGTCACCAGAGAGTTCTGGCTCAACAGCTCCGGGCCTCAAGGGCTCATCGGCTTGGACCCCACCGCTTTCGTGTCTGGAATCACAGTCCGCACCTTTGCGCCTCTCCTGGTCGAGACGCCAAGCCACACAAAAACCCTGAAAGCACCACGTGGAGTGCGAGATTGGGAGGCTGACACCCGCGCAAAAACAGAGTTCTCAAAGTGTTCATGCAGAAAAGGGGCTTGGCAGCAGGAAAGCGGGTGAGACGTGGAGCGGTTTCAGTGCCTGGTGAGACTCCTGGTGAGGACTTTCCTCTAGGAAGCAAGGTGGATCCGGATCCTGGCAGACGGAAAGCCTTCGGAGCAAATGTGACTTGAGCGCCCTGGCCCTGGCCTGAGTCCAGGTCGAGGCTGAACCTCGGGGAGGAGAGCGGAATGGATTACGAGAGAGGCCATCTAAGGCGAACTTCCAAGCGCAGGCACTTTCCGGCGCAGGAGAGGAGAAGGCCGGAGGCAGAGGTCGGTGAACCAACCTCTGGTCGATGGTCGTTGATGGGCGAAAGGAACAAAAAAAAGAGGGCGCGCCTCCTCCACATGTCTTCCCTTACTTTTGCATCAGACAGCGGTGTTCCAGCCTGCTCATTGGCTCTCTGCGGGACCGCTGAATGCAGCTGGCATCTCTCAGCAATGCACGGCAGCTGCTGCAGCTGAAGCCGCCACTGCTGCCGCCTGAGCTCTTGGAACTGGCGGCTGGCAGGTCGAGAGGAAGCTCGGGCACGTGCTGCCGAGCTCCATATCGGCGGTCTCCGGCACTGTTCTGGAGTGACGACCTTACGGACAAAGCAGTGCAGTTAGTCGAATCGGCGACAACGGTTCCTAGGGCGACGCTCGTCTGGCCAAACTGGACTCCGCACATCCTATGCATACTGAGGCCTTCTGCAAGCAGACACCCCCACATGTATCCTGTAAATCCACTGGGCGCACGATCTGTGTTTGCTAGGATTGTCCCTAGGTCGTAGACCTCGGGTTGTCCTAGGGGTTGACGATTAGTTTGGGGGAGGGGCAGGAGAAGCCCACAAGCCCGACGTGTGACCTCAGCACCCTGCGGGGGACCACCCGATGCTTCCTTTCTGGGGAGTAGCCCACTCCTTCGTTCCAGCCCGTTAACACATGGGACGGTTGTGAGCACCTCAAACCCTCGACATGGCAAACCCATCCTTCCGGGGAAGAGACGGGGTACGTGTGAAAAGCTTACATTAGTTTGCACTGCCAGAAGCGACTGCCAAGTGCCCAATGGCGAAGGGGCCACCACCTCGTGATCGTCGGCAGCTGGAGGTGATCCATCGATCCCCTGCATGCCTGCGCAAAGTCCCCAGCGACGCGTCCCAAAAGCATAACTAACACCACGTTAAGCAATTGCAGCCCCTTTGCTGTGTCTCCCTGGCCTTTTCAGGCATGCTGGCACGACGGCAAGAGGTCTGCAGATGTATTCCGTTTGTCTGACAGTCTTAGTGACGTCTCCTGCACTCAGCGATAATCCACTCAGAATTTGAGTCCTGTCCACATGAGAAGCTAAGCCGCAACAGCTTTCAGGGGAGCTCCACTGGCACAAGAACAACTCATCATGAGACACACACACACACACACATGGGGCAGATGCAGCAGACAACGAAGGATCGCCGGCCGGACTCGAGGCCGCTCATAGCTGGGCACATTTCGGATGATGGGCATGGCCGGCATGGACACCTGCCGCACCGGCGCCGCCGGCGCCTGCCAAAAGGCGGCCCCCCCGCCCCCATGCTCAGAAGACACATCTTGACACGGCTCACCGCTCCTGCAACTCCCCATGCGGCAAGTGGCTCGGGGACAACTGTCAAGCAATCAGGGGATGTGAGGAAATCAGCACTTGACAGAGGCGAAGCTGAGGTGCTCGCGGAGGCTCCGGAGTGGCACTTCGCGTGAGGCGACAGGCTTCGGCTGCAACGGCCATGTCGCCAATGCAAACCTGCCCAAACGGGTATTGATGCACGCAAAGTACGGCAAAGTGCAACTACATGGCATGCTTCGAACAAGGTGCTGCAAACTAACAGAAAGTTGCAACAGCGCCTAGGGTTGGCGGTGGTGGTGCTAGTGGTAGTGCGTCTGGAGGTGGTTGTGGTGGGCTTTCTGCCTCACCACGAGGCGGGACCTCTCAGCACAAGAGGCAGCTCTTGCAAGATCTTGCAAGATCTCTGGACCAGCCTGCGCCTCCTCACGAACTGGCCTGTCAAGTTGCCACCGTTTTGGCTCCGCAAAAATATTTAAACAAAAAGCAGTGGTGCACCTTTCGGGTCTACCCGGGAACGGAGGCGGTGGGCCTAAGCCGCACACAGGCACACAGCCAGACGAGCACTCAGTGTAGGACTGCTTGCGGTGCGCGGCGGACTCGGCACCGTGCGAGCTTCTCGCTCTGCTCGCTCTGGCAGCTTCGGAGGCTTGCCCGAGGCTGTGGCCATGCGCGGTTTGATGTGTTCTGTCCGTCCTTCCTCTGCTATGCAGTCCTCCCCTTACAAACCTCTGACGCCGTCTCGAACCAGCTCCTAGACATGTCCCGTAAACTGCAGCCGTCGAACATTTGCGGTGGAGATCTCAAGTCTCAAGCTGAGTCATGTCGGTGCTTCCAAGCTTGCACGGTACATGGCACACAAACTGCAAAAGCCCTATCCCTTTTGTCTTCTTGGGTCGTTTGGCCTTCGAAGCGTAATGACATTGGTTCGCAGTACGATGCAGCACCCAAGGTGTGAAACTGTCCATATACGGCCCGACGCAATGCTAAAACCACGAGGGTAAGAAGAGATTCCAGGACCATAGAGGTCCGATGGCACTGCAGGCAAGGGGATTGTACAGCTGGTCAGGGCTGGACCCAAAGATCCAGCCTCCATTCGGCGGCAGCATTTGGCTATCCAGTCTGGGTTCAACGCCATACAGCCCTTCATTTGGGTTTGGGAAGCCTGAAATAGATATCTCAGCGAACCATGCGACAAAAATTTGTATCTGGACCTGCCAAGAAGGCTTGCGCTCATCGGACTGAAACAGTCATCACAGAGCACACTTCCTCATCAGTTCTGGATACAACAACCCCGCACGCTTTGAATGCGCAAGTTGCCACTTTCAATTCCATCTCATTTGTTCTCCTGAATCACCAGTTGGTGAACGGATCTTGAGACCTTGGCTGGCGAGAATGAGGACGGCTTCAGCTACAAGCTTGAAATTGGCTGAAGCCACTTTGTGGGGTCCTCACGCATTGACTGCAGGAGGCTCTTGGTCCGAATCCGGATAGTCATCGAAGTTGCTTGTGTCCGTTGCTCCCTTCACTGCTGGCCTTAGCACGACAGCGACGGATCTCGAGCATCGACACATCAAGTGCCAGGAAGACATGCCCGCCGGCAAACCAGGCCATGGGCTTGAAGGGAGCCTCAATCTTCTTCGCAAGCAGGTCATCCCAGCTAAGGTCCTGTCGCGGCTGATTTCAGCGAAGCTGGCCACGCAAAAAAAAACGGAGCAATGCCTTGAACCACTTGTGCTCTTTGATGTCTGCTGCGCCGTTCTTCAGATTGCCGAAGCGCTTGCCTGCGTGGCTCACCCTTCTGCCCACGAGAGGGCCGTGGCGGCTTGAGAGGACCAGCGTTACTAAAGTTTCTCTTGCATGCGCCTGCTCACGTTTGGATATAGTATGAATCAAGAAGGAAAGCGACGCTCCGAGTGCCCAGCCCAGGTCGGGTGTGAGCAGCTTCTTTACCAAGCTCTTTGCCTCGGCTCTTATCGGCTCTTCTTGGCGTGAAGACCCCACTTGAGACACAAAGAACGGGTTTTTCGGCATCATTTCCGGGCCTGGCCTCCTTGTGGAAAATCTTCGGAAAGGTGATCTTGCCGGCCTTGGTTAATACGCGATTGTGCTGGTGCACACAGGACGGTTCGCCAACAAATCCTCAGGCAGTTGCCAGGATCTTCTGGTAGATGCCCATCCTTAGCTTTGAGGGGCTGAGAAGCACGAGGCATCTGCGGAGACCAGCGTCTGTCTTTAAGTGAATCTGAGATCTCGTCGGGTCCTCATCGACGAACGGAGGATAGCCGACAATCATCTCGTAGATAAGGATGCCTGTATGTTGCAGCTTGCGGTGTGCTACCTGCTAGCGCAAAGCTTATCGAGACGCGTCTCACATCCCGTGGCAAGTTGAAGCTCGCCTAGCGTCCACCAGTCAACGGGCTTGCCATGCCTCATGCCAGTCAAAGGTGAAATGGCTTCGCCCTTCCGACAGCACGAATTCATGCCTACAACTGAGGACTCCAACCCCTTGTTGAGCAGCACTTCTGGCGCAATGTACTCCGGCGTTCCGCAGAGTGTGTATGTGCGGTGCCTCGGTCGCCAGACATGCCAGTACTTATTGGCATGTCGTTTTGGATCAGCGGTGGACTCGATGACTTTGGCGAAGCCGAAGTCTGTGAGCTTCACATAGCCTGAGAAGACTCCACGGCTCTAGTCTCTAGCCTGACCCGCCCCATCTTTTCCAACGTCTTGGCGACTAAGGTTACTGCCGTCCGCGTTGATCAAGATGTTCTCCGGCTTCAGATCACGATAAACGATGTTCAGCTCGTGGCAATACCTGTTTGAAGACGAGGCCGACCGGGAAAGGATTGAAAACTATCAGTTGGCTCGCATCTCAAATGGAACAAAGAGAGATTCCCTGTTGGCAATTCCCATTCTGTGTCTGCGGATCCGCAGCTAAAGCGCACAACCCTGCCTGAATCCGAAAACTGTGTGGTCAACAGGAAGACAGCACAGATGTTGGAAGAGTGGTGAACGGTGTCAGTGAGGATCGCTAAATGGGAAGAAAGTAAAGCAGTGATCCCCACATGAGCCCTTAGATCGGAAAGGAGGTTGGCAGTTGAAGGCATCACAAAAACAAGAACCCGTAACACAAAGAGAATATCCCATGGAGCACTCGAAGATGCAGGTGATCTGCGCTGCATAGAAAAGTGACTGCTCGTTGTCGAACCGTCCAGCCTGAGGAGAATCAGCACTTCATGGCAGGCCTTGTCTCCTAGGGCGGTGAACCCGGCCTTCCGAAGATGTGTAAAGAACTCACCTCCAACGATGTACCTGAGATTTCGGACCAAGGATGCTTCAATGGAAACGGCTCGCAACGAAGCTAGTCAAGGAGATCCTCCGCACATCTTAGCCTCCGGCTCCAGGACCATGTAAATGTAGCGAGGATCATGGAAGGAGCCAAACCTTCGAAGCACTGATGTAGGTGAAGGACGGCAGAGCCATGAAATGTGCAAAGGGTCAGACATGTTCACAATGAACGGATGCTGGAGCTTGGCGAGGATCTGCTTCTCGCTCATGATATGATCCACCTGTGATTGGAAAAGGGCTCAAGCAGTCTGTGGCCCCGGTCACAGCGATAGTTGCTCGCCTGCTTCATCTTGATGATAGCGGCCTTTTTCAGCGTCTTCAAGGCATAATGTCTTCCACTGCTTTTGTGCGTCACAAACCTGCAGAAGAGGTTCGTTCGGCTGCATGCCATTTCAGGTTTTCGTCTGCAGCACGTGCCTGACCCGTCCAAAAGCTCCAGTTCCCAGCGTTTTCCCGAGACTGAAGTCGCTGACGGACTCGGTAGCATGAGGAAGACATCCCCCGTTGGCTGGAGCTGGATGTGGCTGAGGGTTGACTCAAGTGCTGAGCTGACGACCAGCTTTTCCCCGGACAAGTCCATTTCCTGCTTCACCAAGACTAGACGGAGCAATCCACAAACCCGACATGTCCGTCCTTCTCCGTCGCCATCTTGGAAGTCCAGCCCCCTGCCACCAGCAGAGTCTCAGTGACGTTGTGACGTTGTGCCTGGGGCGCCGAAACAGAATCAACGCACTCGTTTAGTAAATCGTGAATCCGTGGCATCTAAGCCAGCCGGCAATAACCACCTCCAAGGCCACGTTGGCTGACCCAGGTGCTTGGAGCCAATGTGCAGCAAATTCGAAATGCAGCAACTACACACTTGGCGGCTCGTGGGTCCATGCTGCGCTTCCGCTGTCAAAACTGAATTCGACAGTCCAGCAAGCAGTAGTGGCACAATGCTGTTCTCTTGCGACTGGCGATACTCCCAGGGTCTAGGCTCATGCTACTCAAGGGTGACGTCTTTCCTCATGGCCTCTGCGCCGGCCTGGATTGAAGGCTGAAACGAACTGCATGCGATGCAGCCGAACGCAGAAAAGAACAAGTCAGGACCTGCAAGGGCGTGTCACGCACGATGCCTTTCAGGTAGGAGGACCTCTCCCGGCACAAGGCTGTGTGAGCCCTGGGTGTCTCTTTCCTACGGAGCAAGGTGGTTAAACTCTGCCATGGTTGGACGTTCTCGGTGTTCAGCTCCGCTCACCATCCGGGTCCCCGCTTTGGAACCCGCACATGCAGGTGCGGTCGTTTGAGGCACCAGCTTGAAGGTCTCCAGCGCTGCTGGAGTTGTCAGGTTCTCCAATCTGTCCATGTCCTGTACCAAGTTTCAAAGCACGGTATGGCAGTTCGTAGTCATGTTGCCGCGGACCTCTGTGTCCAGCTCGAAGTCGAAGAGGCGCGCATTTTCTTCCATCCTTCTGTCAATTTGTACTACATCGCACAAGGGCTCCGGGCTTCTTGGGGCCTGGAGCGCTTTTCGCTCTTCGGTATGTGCTGGAAGCCTTTCTGAATACACCTGGGCTGGACTGACGGCACACAAATTCAAGCACAAGTCTCTGCTCTTGGTGGCCTCAAAGCTCAGCCCACTGCCACTTTCCAAGAATCTGCGATGCAGAACGGCCATGCTTAGCTGCTAAAGCACCCACGACCTTCAAAGAAGAGGAATTGAAGTCGCGATCAGAACTTGGCATAAGCAACCTGGAGATGTGTTTCAGCTCCAGGTTTCCTCTATATTCCGAAGGATACACCGCATGCCAACCCGCTGATCGCAGGAATCGTCAGGGCTTCATTCGCCTGACTTGACGGCAGAAAGAGCAGAGTGGCCTCACTCTCGAGCGAGGCCGCCTTGCCAAAGTTGCAGAGTGCTCGGTAGGCCTTTCCACAAATTGAAAAGCATGCTGAAGATGACCTTAGGAAGGTCTTTTAGGGCTTTAAGAATGCTCGGCGTCCGAGGCCTGCAGTTGTATGCCGAGCCCCTTGAAATGCGCGATGGTCCTGGCACGTGGACCAAGGTGCCTCTTTGAATTTCTGTCCCGTAATGTCTGAGAAACCTGCTTCTTCCGGTACAAAAAAGGGTTAATCCTTGCCACACAGGCTTGGCAACCGGACAGAACAGCTGTAGCTCTACCGAGGGCTTCACTCGATCTGATTCACTGCTGGGAGAGGAAGTTTTGCAGCCTGAAGCTCTGAGAGGTCCTCGCGCCAGCAACCACTCACTTCGCTTCAGCTGCTTGCGAGTACGTCCGAGGCATCCTCCACGGTGTAGTTTGAAACGCCGATGGACTTGATCAGGCCCTGACAAGCACTGGCTTCATCTGGGACATCCGGCCGGGGCCGGCATTGGGAGCCTCCGCTTGCAAAGCCACCAGCTCCTCACTCACTGCTCGGAAACAAGCCAAAAGCTGAAAAGATGCTAAGAATATCTAAGAAACGTGAAGCTGCGACAGATGCTGGCTATGGCCTGGTAAGCTTCCACGTGTTTGCCAGGGACCGGCCAGTGGATCATGTAGAGGTCTAGGAAACCGCAGCCTAGGTCCTGGCCAGATGCCATTGGCGAGCGGATGCGAAGCCGACTTGTTGCCGCCTTGATGGACTTGAGGCACTGCTGCCGGACCTTCAGACTGCGAATAGCCGGTGCGCTGATGTACAAAGTGCTGCACGTATCACCAGGCTGTGTCTTCCAGGCTCGGACAGCCTTTGGGCCATCGTGGATGTTGTTGGTCCAAACCTGAAGAACGTGCTTAATTCAAGGTCCTAATTGTTCTAACTGTCCCGAGTTCCGCGTTCACGGCGTACCTTGGAGATGATGTAGAGCTCTTCCCTGGGAACACCAGCGACCTGGAGCTGATGTAAGGCTTGAACTGAAAGCGGGGGGCACTCCAGCGCACCCCGCCTGGAATGCTTCTCCAATGGCATCCTCAAAACAAGCAAAGACTGCTTTGAATATGCTTTAATGACACGTTCATCATGTGCCATCTGGCCTCATTCTCATAGAACTGTGCACAATCAAAGCATCGATAGCCGGCCGCGAGCGCGTCCGCGATGACCTTTTTGCCAAGCAGCTCCAGCTGAGAAGAATTGGCGATCATAGCGGGGGCATCGCTCCCTTTGCTGGAGCCGGCTTGGCTGCATCGGCAGCCCCTGCGGCTGACCCAGGAACCACCTCTCCATGTCTGCAGAGCTCTCAGGCGCATATAGATCAGGACAAAGGGACAGATCAAGGCCAACACCCCGACTTTGTAGCAGCCGAAACCCAGAATCGGCATTGACCTTGGCGAGATTGTCGAGCAGGGGAAGTAGTAGTAGTAGTAGTAGTAGTAGTAGTAGTAGTCGTGGCATGGCGAACCCGCTTTAAACTGA